AAGGAAAAAATCACTTTATTTAATAAAAAAAACTATGGTTTGAGGTGTCTTAAATGTAACTAAAGGTACAGCTTAAGTTTGACGTTAATACAAAAGGTCGAATTAAGCGCTAGAAAAAAATGCAACTGGGCCTTTTTAACCGAATGTTCGGTTAATAAAGCCCACATGAAAAAATGACATCGGCTAAAAGGGCCCACCTAGAATATAACTACAAATACGTATCAACGGTAAACTTTACGTTACCTATAGATATTTTCTAAGTAATCAAATAAAATAAGTTTTTATGGAAATAACACAAACAAAAAATGTCAAAAAAAACAAATTCTTTCAAAAACCACAGCAACTAACGTTTGCAAAAGAAAACACTTATTCACAGCTTGAGCAAGTATACTGATCTTTGTCTTCTTTTGTAAAACCAATACACACTTCGTGGCTCCAAGTGCCACATATCACACAAGACCGCATATCTAATTGTTCGGATTTTTGACACACACAACAGTACCAAGATTCACTTTTTGGGGTATTACTTTCAGAGCAATTTTCCACTAGAATCTTCGATGAGGATGCTGTTGGTTGCTTTCTGATTTTACGCTTGGGTTCGCATTTAGAGGTCGTTGAAGAGAACAGATCTTTGGTTACTAACTGTGCTTTGTAGTTAATGGATTTTCTTTTCGGAACCTTGTTCTCTTTCAGACTGAAAAGTTCAGGCGTAGGCAGTAGTTCATTAAAAGACTTATTGAGATTTTGACTTTCTGTTTCTATTTGAATTGAATCATTAGTCTTTCTAGGTGTTTCAGATGAGTATTTTACCTTATCAGAAACTTTTTGCTGGATAGATCTTTTTATTGCAGTAAGAGGAATATCTTCTTCAGAGTCGGTGGATTCAGAACCGCTAGATTCGGTTATAGTATTACTCTGCTTAAGGCAGAAGTTACTTTTATTATCTTCAATATCTTCATGATTATTGTCCTGTTCAGTTTCCGAAATGTCCGGACGCTCAGTGGTTAACGATGGAGCGAAAGCTGATTCAGGAATTATATTTGGATCTAGTGGGTATAATCCTGTCGCTCGAAAACCGTTTATTATATTCTCAGGAGTCATACATCTAGGCCAAACTTTAGACAAAATTTTGCCAAAACGATATTTTTTTAGGCGGCGATCTGGATTAAAATCCCAAAATCGGAGCACCTCTTGGTCCCAGTGATATTCAAACGAACGATAAACTGCTTTATCTAAAGGCTGTAGCTCATGTGTTGTGTTGGAAGGCAGACAAAACAGCTTTATATCCAATTCATCTGCAACCTCTATTATGGAGATATCCAGGTGACTAGCAGCTCCGTCAAAAACAAATAAAACTTTACCTGTTACCTTGTAGCGGTGTAGATGCCTAAGAAATTCAATGAAAAGCTGAATGGTCATGCTACCCTTTTCAGCCATTTTAACCAAGGTACCTTGTGGTAAATTTTCTTCATATTCAGCTTTTAATCTTTTTCCCTTAAATATGACCATAGGTGGAATACTGTTTCCTAAAGCATTACAACAACCAGCAATGGTTACGTTTTCTGGATGCTCAGGAGCCACCAGGTGGACACGTCTGGCACCTCTCTGACTAATAACTTGCTGTTGATGATGAATAGTCAATCGGGATCCCTTTTCGTCCATGTTGAAAAGGTTCTGTGGATTTTGGTGCAAATTCATTTCATCAAAAATGTTGGCTAGTTTGGTAAAGTGATCATTCACTATAAATTTATTTAATTTTTGGGCACGTGCGGGATTCATAAGTTGTGCCTTGCGTTTTGACAAATGAGAATTCCGTTTTAAAAAACCGTACATCCAATCTTTACCAGCAATCCCCTTAGAAGCATTAAATGGGTGCTGAATGTTATTATCAACACAGAATCTGTAGGCAGAGCGACGTACCAACAATGGGGTTAGTGGCATTCCTATATCGCAGAGACGACATATGCTTTCAGAAAGCTGTTTTTCTTGGTCGGGAGTTAATACACTGGATCGTCCAATTTTTTTATTTAGTACGCCTGATTTTAGGTGGTTCCTAAGGGTTCTCCTGGGTATATTGTAACGCTGAGCAGCTTCTCTTTGAGAAAGGACACCACCTTTGACAGAGTTAATTGTAGCTTGAAGTTGTTCTGTAGTCCAGTTTGCTCGCTCTCTCTGTTTTGGTGGCATGTTTACGGGAAAACCTAAAAAAGAAAAATATGTTTTACAACGTCGTTTAATAAGGCCCACTTTAGGCGTGGGCCTTATTTGCCGAAAATTATCGGGCCTTGTTTACCGAAATGCTACTGAACGAGAACAAACTAGAAATTTTCAAATGATACTTACCTTATTGCTATTGTTTTTATAGTAAAACCAAGCCTATACAATGCAGAACACAATATACTATTTACTATAGCGAAGCAAAATTTGACTAACGAAATATTAAAGTGAATAGGTTCGTGAAATATTACCATACCTGTAGACCGCACAACGCTCGAATTGTTACTGATTTTGCAGACGGTATTCAATCTAGGCCGTGCCGGGGCTAATTGTGACCTTGGACGTATAGTTAGAAACAGCTTAACGTTGCCATATTTCAGGGCATACGCATATTTATTAAAATATTTAGTACGGGCTTTATTAGCCGCCGGGCTTTGTTTGCCGCAGGTACCTTATGTGCCAAATATATTCCGCACTCGCTTCTGTTAAAACTGCAACCTTGATAGAGTATGGTATGGTTCAGTATTATTTAATATTTTAAGAGGTGGTTCTTAGTAAAAGACTTCTTACCAGTGCCGGATGCTCCGCTGTTCGATTTTCGTCGGCCGGCGCGCATGACTTCACGCTGAGAGTGATTCTCATTTTCACGCTGAGAGTGATTCTCATTTGGGTTGATTTGGATAACGTGCATATTTTCACCTACAGGCCAAATAGCTGGACGGATTTTCAGATATATAAAGTGTCGTTGTATTCGCCTTAGTGGTGCGAATGACACCAGATTCATTAAAATTTTGTACAAAACAAAATGGTGGATTTTAATAAAAAATATCAATCTTGTAATTCCTATTTCATAAGCTACAGCTCAAACGGCTTGATAGATTTTCACATATGAGGTGTCGTTGGATTCGTCTTAGCGGTGCAAGAAACACAAGCTACATTGAAATTTTATACAAAACAAAATGGGAGATTTAAATAAAACATTTCAACCTTGTAATTCCTATTTCACAGGCTATAGCTTAAACAGCTTTCTAGCTCCACAATAGAGCGTATTACTTACATATTACTTTACTGTAAAAACAAGATTCTTATACATTACCTATATCTTAGTATGTTCCGTGGAGCAGGATTAAAATGCTCATGACGTTAATACTGCACATTTATTTATCCTTATTTCACAGAACATCCTAAGTACTAGGTACATGTAAGTGTGAAAATGGACGCAACTCGAAAGGTAGAAGAATAGAATTATCTTCTTTTTGCAGTAAGCTGGCGGAATAACAATAAATGGAAATGACTTAGTCTGAGCAACAATTTTTCTCTAGTTCCTTTCACGATTTTTCTGGTCCTTCAAACTTTTAATCAGTTCTTTGATGAACGGGGGGTGTGTGCATCATAAAACAGGGGGCATTTATTATACAGGTTGTGTCAAAAAAGAAAAACAAAAACCAAACGGCGTGATAAAACATAAGAAACTGTAATAAAAAAACATTTAACTATAAAAACCAATACAATATTACAAATAACTGTCAAACAACAGAACATTTATCACGCAATCATATTAAAAAAATATCATAGGAAACAAAAAAATAAAAACCATATGACTAAAGGCCATTTCTGCTTTGCATAAAAAAATTGAAAGTTTTTGAGTTATTTAAACTTAGTCACTGTCTGTATCAGATTCTTCTTGTAGCACTGTTCTCTCTATACTACTCGTATATAAATTATTTTTTGTTTTTTCTAAAATGTTTTTCTCCAAATTCGAAGTCTAAGCAGCAAGATTTTTATGTATTGTATCCAGTTTGATAAATATCGCGAACAAAGTTGAAGGTAAAATTCGATTCCTTTTCTTTGATTATCTCCATATTATATGAGAATGTCCACTCGACATCTGCGTTACCATGTAGCAAATGTTAAAATTATTAGACATACTTTGGAAATACACTTCACAGGTTGTGTTCTTACCACCTACTACCATGTTACGTGTCTCCTCCGTTGAATAAGAATTACCGACCGCGACCGGTGGTTACCACTGTCGATTGGAAAGATATATGTATTTAGATTTAGTTACTAACTGCACACAATTTTGTTTCTGGTAAAAATATCCATCATGTGTACCTAAATTGTAAAATTCCGCTTTAAACAAAAAATCCAATTCCGGCGCTACCACTTGAAAATTCCGCCGCCAGTAGCGGAATTCCGCTACTTCTGGCAACACTGGTAACGAGTAAACGGTCACCGATGACCGTTTTCCAAACTTCAAAAAAGGCTTGGTAACGATCTGCCTCACGCTCAAGATACAGGAGACTATGCCTCCTCATCATGGTTGCGACAACTCTACAGTTGAGAAGAGAGTATGCGAAGATCAACTACTGAAATGATCCTGTGAAGCATGACAGCTTTAAGTACGCGAAGCAACTGTAGCAGAGATAAGCCCTTCTAGAGATGGGAAACTCCAAAACTAAGATAAGTTACCGTATTCTGCGACCTCTGGTGGATTGGTCTCACACCAGTGCTGAATAATGGGCCTTTCCATCTTAATAGGACAAACCTAATGGGGCTTTTTACATTCTGTTAATAATAAATCGTCTTACGTTACAAAAACACTCCAAATGGGTTAATTTCCACTTTCTTTCAACAGTGTCTTTCTCCAATGCTGGGGTGAGTCGCGCGTCACGTATTAATGACTAATATAGCAGAAACCATTCGGAGTGTTTTTATTACGTAAAATGGCTTGTGGAAAATCTTTCCAGGGGATGCGAAGGGAGGAATTAAAATTAAAGAAATAATTATAGTCATTTTATGGTCAATCATTCAAATACAAATTATATCACCTTTTCTCACAAAGCTAAATATAATAATAATAATGTCTTTAGAAATCCATTCACACTGCGAGGCGAAGTTTATCCAGCTGGCTACACTACCACTTAACCTCACAGTCAGAAACACATACAAAAAAATATATAACAATGAATAGCAATCGACTAACTAATATGTACAATAATTAAGGCTTAAATAGAGTAATCTTAAGATGTTATACATCTATACTACATGGTCCCCTCTAACAAAAAAATAAAAAAAAAAGAAATACATATATCAGCTAGCTTGGCTAGCAGACCCCAGAAGATGGTTCTTAATGGCTCTCTTGAATGCAAGAATTTCCTTCTTTAAAAATCACATCATTTACACCTGGATTGATGGGAATCTGGTTTGATAGCTGCATTATTGTTTTTTTTTTGAGGGCAAAGCAAATATTTTTGATAATGCTCGATATCCCCTACCACTTTGTTTATGAAGTATAAGTCCCATCAACTTGTCTTCTAAGCTATATCTGCATCCCTGTGATTTACTACCAGCCAGTGTGATTTGGCTTTTGATAAAAGTAGCTACAGTGCTGTCCAATTGCTGCAATGCCTCATTTAATACTTCTCGTGTACTTCTGGTACTTCTAATCAACCTTCTTGTATATCCTAGTCTTCTGTTAGCTCTAGAGAGGTGACTGGCTATCTTATATAGGTTTTTAGCTTTTGGACTTAAGTGGGTTTCTCTGGTTACATGTACCTTATGCAATAATCCAGATTCTGTCCTTGAGGAACCTTGAAATAAAGAATGAAATTGATATTATATTATTATATATTATTATTCTGATTTTATATTTATTTACTCACATTGTTTGATATCTTTGTACATTGAGTGAATAAATATTATTATTATTATATATGTTAAGAAACCATTAGAACTGTATTTTTACAAGACAATACATTCAATCAAATGTTCCATTTGTAAATAAATGCAAGTGATTGATAGTCAAAGTTGACCAAACTTCGTTTAAAGTTTATATTATGCTGATGTGATTTGGAATTAAATTTATTATTATTAGTAGGTATTATGTATAGAAACCAATGTTCTTTTCAAACTTTCACAATTTTGAAGAACTTCTATTAAGATTTGCTTTTTTTGGAAAACAGTGTTTCTCTTGGTATAATAGGCTAAGATATTCATGCAAAATTACTTTACTCACTAGCTTCTGAATAATGCTCCTCACTCCTTCTACTGTAGTTACATCAAGATTTTCTGGTTGTGAGGTGGTAACTGAGCAAACTTCTCCCAACTGTTGTGATGATGCTGAAGTTGATGGTTTTCCTGTAACCACACAATTTACACTATCAAAAAAAAATTACATAATCAATTTTATAATGTTTCATACAGTTACTGTGCTATCATCAATAAACTGTTTTGGAGCCCATTCTGGGAATGATTGAAACAATTACCAATGAGATGTTTGCAGTTAAGATAATGTTATCTCTAATTTCCCTGTATAAACATTAACCTTATAATATTCCTAGTGTTAACAAGAGCTCAGTCTAACTTATTCCAAATATAAATGATTACCATCAATGAGTTGAAATGAGTTTTAAATGGAAAATATTAACTATATACTTCGTTAATTGAAGACAGACACCAAACCCAACAATGTTCACACATATTTTATGTGACTTGCTACATGCACTGTGTTGTCTGCCAATGCCACACCAGGAGGGTGGAGCAGGAGACAACATGAAGGTGCATGTAGCCTCACCAGTCATGTAAAATATGCATGTATATGTTTGGATTTACTCTTCCTTTGATAAACGGACTATAGTTATGTACTAAACACTGGTGAAAGTCACTACTTATAACAGTTTCCAAAAAGCTGAATATATGTAAGTGAAGTTGAGATATGTAAAATTGGGTGATACTAAAAATAAAACAAACCAACATACCAAGAATTTCATCAGTTGTATTGGATATTTGTTGATCAGGAATCTATGCCATACTGAAACACTGTCCTGACAGCCTCTAACTGCACATTTGCGGTACCGAGACATGGTTTCTGAAAAACAACATTCAGTTACAAAAATACATGTTAAATATGTTCAAGTTAAATGACTCAAGGAAATAGAAATGTCGCTAAGCTCTAAGAAGACATGACAACATAAACAAAATCAAATTTAACTTTTGCAGTTGTATGTAGTAATACTGTAATGACACAATATTAAAATTGATGATTTTAGCAACATATTTAGATAAGCAGGAGCCTTGAGAAATAAGCTCGGGCTGCTATGCCGGAAAATTCTCGAGACCCCATGCCGAAATATTCTCGGGCCCTTTTCTTGACATGAGCGAACCTAAGGACGTCTGTCCAGTTCCGTAAGCGAGCCTCGGGCTCCCCTCAGCGCCGGACCCCCTGAAGTTTTGTACCCATCATCTTAGCCTATAAAACTAGATTATATCACTATACTTACATGCTGCATTAAATAGGCGCCGTAATCACTCAAATTTCACCACACATAAACAAAAAATAAAAGTATTAAACGGTCCAAACACAAAGTGCGGTAATCACTCAAAATTAACCGCAACCCCACATATAAACAAAAAATAAAAGTATTAAACACAAGCCACGCCACGTCACTGACAGCTGTCAAATATCAGCTTCCAATTCCGACAAATGACAATAGCGATACCAGCGGCATCCAACAGATTGGTCACCAACTAAAAACACTGTTCCAATTCATGCCATAAGAGTGAATACCCCCTGAACTGTAGTCTACGATCTACGTATTGTACCGACCATATACAAATTAATATACACGTTTATTTTGATACATAGCGGGCAATAGTCTAAGGTGTGGCATCTACTATTCTGATAGGATTTTCTAGATTTCTCTTCAAGGATATAGTTATAAGATTTGCCGATAAGATTGTGATCAACAGATGGCAGCACCACCAAAGACGTGCTGTCACATATAAAATTAACGGTGAATTTATTCACTTCTGAGTCTTCTGACATCATACTCATCAAGTATGAATGAGGCTAGAAGATGCGTTGCAGTTATCATTATTGCTATAAGGCGCAGCTGAATTCATCAACAAACCTTACGATATACAGCGCCACCTCTACGATTTGAGATGAACTGACCGGCTGGTCATACTTACAATGAACTGTCAACACTGATGGAACAGGCGTACGCGTAACGCCGGCTCCACACGTTGGCCCCAGCGCTGGTACCAACATTGGTCGGTTAAGTTGGTGAAGCGTCCACACGTTGGTTATTATACTAGTTCCTTTCTGTCAGAGCCAATGTGAAGATGTCCGACACCGAAACCGAAATTGCTCTAAGCGCTTTTACAGTACTGATGAGTGCGTATAATATATATTTGTTATTGAAAAAAAGGAGATGGTGGATGACAACGCATCATAAAACTCGGTACCAATAAGTACAGACCATACACTCCATTCTAGCAGCTTTTTACAAGGCAATTTAATATTAAATTATCTAATAATGTGTATACAGTGTGTCCAAGATAAGAATGTCTATCATGAGGATCTTGGAAAACAAAAGTGATACGAAGATGGTTAAATTTCAAGCCTAACAATATCCCGTTTATAAAGTTTTAAAATTCCAAGTTGTTCCGGAGGTATGCCTAAAAAACCGAAATTTGCCGATATCGTTTTTATTTTTTTCTTACGTTATTTAAAGAGATATGGAAAAATAAAAGACACTTTCTTATGGCTACTTTTTAAGCTCTACAAAACAGCGTTGAGAGATTTTCCGCACGACGTTTCGTTTCGGAGATAGCGCTAGTCAGGGCAAAACATCGTGGTCCATTGTGGTATTTCCATATATGTTCTAAGGATTTTTGGTGAATGTTTGTTTTTAGTGACGTTAAAGATTAATAGTGATAGTTTGCGACAATTATTATAAACATTTTTATGCCGGACAGCCTTCAAGACCTGTTGTTTTATGTGATATTTGTTTAAAAATGGTTGAATCTTGCAGTGCGGTGAATTGTTGCAATAGACGCAGAATAGAGGTGAAAATGAAGTTTCACAGGTTGGTTTTAATCATCTCATTCATTTTTGTGTGAGAATTACCTGTTAATTGGTAATTCGAGAAAGTATCTGGATTTTTAGGACACCTACAGATCCTAACATGAGGAAGTTGTGATTACATGCTATAAGAAGAGAAAACTTTACTCCCAGTACAACAACAGTAATTTGTGAAAAGCATTTCACTCCAGAGGATTATGAAGTTAGTGTTCATGGAAATAAGGTACTAAAAAAGGTGCCAGTTCCATCTGTGTTTGATTTTCCAGCCCATCTCAAGAAAGAACCTAGCCATCGAAGGGTTTTGAAAAGAAAACATGAAGAATCCAACTCAAAAGCAACAGGTATGTTCTTTAAAACATTCCCAGTCTAAGCTTAAGGTTTTAACTTTTCTACTTTTAAAAAAGATATTTACAGTGATGAAGTGGGTCTTAGTAACATAATTATTTTTAGAACAAACTTTGGCTATTTGTGAAGTAGTAGAAGAACCTGAAAATGGCGATCATGCTGAGGATGGAAATATATTGGCAGCTGGTCCTTCAAACGTTACACAAAATCTAGTATTTTTAGAATCAAGTGAACCTTCAAACATATGCAATTTAAGGTAATTGTCATTGAACTTTGTGTTTCTCATTTGTTACAACCCCTTTTTGTTTGTAGGGTCAGAAGATCACCAGTATACTTTGAGGATTTCAAAATCTCTGATTTAAATAATGTGCAGTGTTGGAAGAGATTTTGGAAAACTGCTCATGAAACTGTTCATAAGTACAAAAAAATTAACAAGTACAATCAGTGTAAAATTTGTAGACAAAGAAATAAAATAAAAAGTCTGAATAGTCTGGTAGATGAACTACTTAAGGAGAAGAGAATATCAATAGTATTTAAGGTAGACATTTGATGAACAGATACTTTGCTGCTACAATGGTTACCTTGTTGTAGTTTATTTTCATTTGTTAAATTTTCATTTCAATTGTTGAACTCTGTTGACTATCTATTGATTACTAGCTAGAGTGATCATTTTACCATCACAGTATTTAGTGAATGAAATTTTTAGCTTAAAATTATGATGCATTTGTTTTTACAGGAAAGTCTCCCAGAAACCCAAAAGCAACTGCTTTTCAGGCAGTTGAAAAAAGGAAAATCTAACAAGTATAGCCCAGAATTAAGGTGTTCTGCACTAACATTAATTTTTATTCATCATCAGCATACAACTATGTTAGAAAAATATTTGGAAAAAATGTTCTACCACAATTTTTATATCTTCAAATGTGTAAAGGAGAATTTATTGTCAAGTTTTATACATATGTATATATAAATAAATAAACTTGGTTTTTTAATTATAATTACGTTTCCAGGATTTTATCTCGTTCCAGTTGCCTGAATAACTTTTAAATCTCTAAGAATCCTCGGTTTCCTATGCAATTCATTAAAGTCCGCGCGCTTTTTGCCCTGACTAGCTCCATCTCTCTCTCTCGGACCTCTTTGTCGTATGTTGGCCGCATTATCGTTTCATTGTACAAATGGGACGGGGCGATTCCATCAGTGTTGACAGTTCACTGCATACTTATCACCTTGACATTATATAAATACATAGGTTGCTCCTTCGCGCCAGATGTAGCGTTCCAAGCCAAGAGAAATATATGCAAAATACTACAAAAAAGAAGTAACCGTATACTTGGGCTGGATGGAGCAGAATCGTGAATAATGACCGAACGATCAGTTTTACCAGCAATGAAAGAAGGTGCATTCAAAGTTAGTTTCGTACTTCTCTTATGATTCGACTGCATATCATCTCTCTACTTTTCAGCATGGTAGCGTTTTGTTGGGTTGGGGTGTTAGCGTTCTTGATTTGTGTTTATCGCATTAATTAAAAGCGTTCCAGACGCAGACATCATACGTTACATATAAATAGATTTAGAGAGATGTTCCGCAACGTAATTCAGTCCTCCTAATGTATAGCTTTTGGCCAATAAATTTATGATCCCAAATACACAAATCCCCTTCAGATATCCTGATGGAAGTGTTATCTCCCATTTTTGAGCAATAAACATACACTGAATACCAAATACCACTGACGTCGTAATGCGTACGAAAGAGAAGGCGAGAAACGTGCAGTACGTGTGTTAGAAAGATATAGGAAACATCTCGTTGCCTAGCAACCCGATTACGATGTCACGTATGCCATCGGCGCACTCCTTCTAACATACATATTGCAGGCGTCCCTCTCTTACACTTTACGACTTCAGCCAAATTTGAACCTCGTCGTACGCATACACGAACCGCCACCCCCCACGAAACATAAATACGCACTGAATATCACCTACCGTCTATTGTAATATTTGGTGTCAACGAATATTTCAATTCGAATATCTTAAAACCCCATCATCTGCCAGTCGCGCATATAGTATAACCTAACTTTTGTCTTTTAACTGTAACACAATAATCAAATTCAAGCGGATAACCAAATGGAAATGGTATTTACCATTTTGGATTGGTATTTACCGATCCGTTCAAGCGAGTGTGGTTATCAGTTTGGTTATAAGATCCGTGACGTCACGAATCAGCTGTTATATGTCATACGTCATAGTTATCACCGCAAAATTGAGGTATTTACCCAACTCCGGAGTAGTTTTATATTTCTGGTTATTATTTGACATGTGACAAGTTAGAATTTTACCGGGTATTGGATATATTTATTGTACTTCAGCTTCATTTTTGGGAAACTTGATACAGGCTGACTTCAGTTTTAGCATAAGAGAGCACCATTACGCGGATAACCAAATGGAAATGGTATTTACCATTTTGGGTGGGTATTTACCGATCCGTTCAAGCGAGTGTAGTTATCAGTTTGGTTATAAGATCCGTGACGTCACGAATCAGCTGTTATATGTCATAGTTATCACCGCAAAATTGTGGTATTTACCCAACTCAAGAGTAGTTTTATATTTCTGGTTATTATTTGAAATGTGACAAGTTAGAATTTTGCCGGGTATTGGATATTGTTATTGTACTTCAGCTTCATTTTTGAGAAAATTGATACAGGCTGACTTCAGTTTTACCATAAAGTGGAGCACCTTATTAGTTATACTCATTACGGTTGTTGGGGACACTTTAAATGTAGTTCCTATGCTTAACAAAGTATCCTGTGTAGCCATATACCACAAGAATATTAAAATATGGCCATATAAACTCACTAGATGATATCCACCTGTATACGGTTTTGCTAATTTCTTTTTTCATCATTTCTGCTGAATCAATAAATGTTTTCTTTGACATGCGGGAAAATTTAGAGAATTGAAAGTTATCATAGCTACAAAGCCATGGCTCCATCATTAAAAAAAAAATCTGAAAAAGCATTTCTCCCATGAATATTATGAAAGGTTTCTTATTTAAACTTTCCATATACAGTTGTAGACGAAAAAGCACCGATTATTAAGTGATAATAAAAATAATCAAGAGATTATATACGCGCTTTTCTAAAATAAACAACTTGCAACAAAACCGCGGTTAAAACCAACGCGTTCAAGCGATTCGTGTAACTGACGTCATCAACCTGTGTGTCATCTTGAACCATATTATAACCGCGGCACATAACACAGAAATTTTGGTTATTCGCTTGGATTTGATTTATAACCAATGAACTGTCAACACGGATGGAATCGCCCCGTCCCATTCGTACAATGAAACGATGATGCAGCCAACATACGACAAAGAGGTCCGAGAGAGAGAGATGGAGCTAGTCAGGGCAAACAGCGCGCGGACTTGAATGAATCGCATAGGTAACCGAGGATTCTTAGAGAAGATTTAAAAGTTATTCAGGCAACTGGAACGAGATAAAATCCTGAAACGTAATTATAATTAAAAAACAAAGTTTATACATATACACATTTGAAGATATAAAAATTAGTATTTAACATAAGTAATTAATAATTCAGGTAGCAAAGAGATTACATGTCTGCTTATAATTAACTTAACTGCTCTAATATGTTATTTCTTACATATAAAAAATAAGAGATCTAAGAAATATCACAATAAATACATGTTATTTTCTATATATCTTTATAATGTTCTAAATAGTATTTATGCACATTTAAATTTATTTTTATAGTACTGTAGCTGTCAACACTAAATGTAGTTGGAACACGTCCAATTTTGTAGAGATTAGTGTACAAAGAAAAAACCCTTATATATATACAGGGTGACTTTGAAGTTGAGTCATTAATTTTCAGATAATGATTGTAGAAGGAAGATTTAAACCAAAATATGTGTGTAAAAATAAAAAAAAAATTAAAAAAAAATTTTACCTTGTTTTATAAAGTATCCTCCCGACAAGTATTTCAGTGCGGACCTGTATTTGATCGTGAGGTCCCCTGTGAGGTCTTAAGTCACCTGATTCACGAGCCCGTTGTACTACATTAACAAAGGCACGAGGGGTTGGTTGCACTCGATTGGGAAACCGATCCGCATAAACATGTGCCATTTTTTATTTCACTATTCACACGCGACTGAAACTGACTGTATGTATAACTGAACTGAATTGTAATCGTAAAAACATCGTTCCAAATTCTTTCGCTTTTTTGTTTCCGATGCAATGAACCGTTGTTGCCAAACACAAACACATGATATTATTGAGACAGGGCGGTACTCAAACTTCCAAAGGGCTATAACTTTGTTACTTTAATTTTACCAGAAAAATGGTAAAGGAAAAAAACATTTCTTTTGATCAGATCTACACACTGTTAAAATAAATGACTCAACTTCGAAGTCACCCTGTATATACAAAATATTTGTGCACAATGGCATTAACAATACTGTAGATGCACAGTTTTTCATTATAATACAATATAGGTTATACCATAGTTCATTCTAGAAATTATGTATTCATGTTTTCTTTTCAAAACCCTTCAATGGCTAGGTTCTTTCTTGAGATGGGCTGGAAAAGCAAACACAGATGGAACTGCCACCTTTTTTAGTACCTTATTTCCATGAACACTAACTTCATTATCCTATGGTGTGAAATGTTTTTCACAAATTACCGTTGTTGTACTGGGAGTAAAGTTTTATCTTCTTATAGCATGTAACCACAACTTCCTCATGTTAGGATCTGTAGGTATCCTAAAAATCCAGATACTTTCTCGAATTACCAATTAACAGGTAATTCTCACACAAAAATGAATGAGATGATTAAAACCAACCTGTGAAATTTCATTTTCACCTCTATTCTGCGTCTATTACAACAATTCACCGCACTGCAAGATTCAACCATTTTTAAACAAATATCACATAAAACAACAGGTCTTGAAGGCTGTCCGGCATAAAAATGTTTATAATAATTGTCGCAAACTATCACTATTAATCTTTAACGTCACTAAAAACAAACATTCACCAAAAATCCTTAGAACATATATGGAAATACCACAATGGACCACGATGTTTTGCCAATTTTTTGCCCTGACTAGCGCTATCCTTCTCGTTTCTCATTCTAGCCGCAATGAATTCGCGTTACGCCTGTTCCATCAGTGTTGACTAGTGGTGGGTAATCAATACTTTTGCAAGTATCGAATAGATACCGATACTTTATCTGTAAGTATCCCATACCGATACCAAGTATCGGCTGGATTGATTGCCATTAGTATCCGTTAATTTAATACTGCTAGTGTGAAATAATAATAATCCTGTTCGTGTCTTTATGTCGCTGATCCCGCCGACCTTCGAATTTATTGCCTACTGTTATTATGGGGTCTCGGTCTCCTATAAGTAGGTATCATCGAGTATAGACTAGAAATTAGAAATGACTGATGAGTAGTGATGAGCGATACCCTGAATTTTAAATTACATTGCTATATTTGTTATTGTTACAATATTGGTTAAAAATAAAATATAAATTCTGGGCTTTTGTAACAAGAAATTAATTTCAGCCTTTTGCTTCAGTTACGTGTTAGAAATCAAAATTACACACTTTAATTCCCAAAAGTTCGCCTATATTCAATTGACAACCGGAACATGCAACAACCCAAAACTGGTCACTGACGCGAAGCAGATAATAACATGGGTCATGAGCCTGATGCCTGGTCATGATGCTAATATTGAATATTCTTATTTTAAATATTTCAATAAACAAAACAATAAAGACAAACATCCACTAATCAAGATCATTCCAATGTCGCCTATTATTTGTAATATAACGTGCATATTATGTTATATTTTACTTTTAGATTGATCAACACCACAAACCAAACGACACAATCCGCATTTCGCAGCCTTCAAAAACAAAAAACAAACAACTAAACCGGCTGAACGCGCGTCGACCCTTTGACCTTTCGCTTTCAGCTTTCACATGCGACGGAAGTATCTCTGTATTCTCTGTCCCTCTCTCTACACTGCAGTATGTATGAATAGTCAGATTGTCAGTATTTATTACAGTATTCGATACATTCATCAAAAAGTATCCGATACTTCTGACTTCGGAAAGTATCGGATCTTTTGTATCGGATAGATACTTTTTGCCCACCACTAGTGTTGACAGTTCATTGACTATAACCAAGTTTTTTTCACAGCTTTTTTTTAAACAAATATTTTTTAAATTGTGATAAAAATAATAAAAGCTAAGTAGAGGACTCATGGTACCCTTTCGATTCAGAAACCTGTTATTAAATTTCAATATCTCCAGACATATGGTAATAGAAAATACTAGATACATTCACAAATACATTTTTAAAATGGATAAAGCGTATTTGAGGCATTTGGATGATGAAACATTCGATTTTACGTTTAAATATGTCAATGAAGAACTGAAAGTTAACCGGCAGTTCAATTTAAGTCGTAAATCGAGTGAAACAGTTGAAGCATTTCTGCAACGGGTTTCCGCCAACCTGGAAAAAGTTATTAGCAAAAAAAATAAAAAGAAAAAGGATACAGATACCTCAACGCCACATTTAAACATTTCACTGACGGTGAATAATGACGATGTAGACAAAAGCATGTTTTGCTATGAGATCTTTCGTGAGAGAAGTCAAATTTCACTTAGAATCAATGAAACCACATATCATGTGATTGTAAACTCGCCATGGATTTATGCTTTGGCTTTGCCAGCATGTATGATGGCAGACTTTCCAGTATATCCTAGCAAATATGACACTACATACACTGATAAGGACAAATCTCAGTTTTTATGGTCAAAATCAAAAAACAAACAGACATGGGTTCATGCTGGTGAGGGATACATCTTTCATCCTACAACTGAAGATATTGGACATTACTTAAAGCTGAGTTGTCTGCCAAGGAATGATAGATTGGAAGGTCCAGTTGCTGAAGCTATTTCATCATGCGTTGTTGAAGCAGGTCCTGGAGAATGTCCATTTGAGAGAAGGCATGCCTTCACCAAATCAAGAGTTGAAGAAAAGGAGTAAGTAGTGTAGTGTTCATCCTGAAATCTACTATGCTTAATGATCCCACCTCATGAGTACACCATGGGAATGTCACCAAATCATTGCCACATCAGTAAGGTATACTTTATCTGAAGTCACTTGAAACACTGTGAAATACCGGGTGCGTTTTATATATCTATATTTAACACGCTCTGTTGCTGCAAAAATCGCCAAATTTCGCAGCAAATATCCCCTGTATAAGATCAAAGGCAGTTTCACCGGTCCACGTGGAGTAAAGCACACCTATGCGTGGACATAGCCAATGAGAAAGCGTGTATTTCAGAGCTCCGAAAAAGTGCAGGTGGCTACTCAAAATTGAAACAGTTTAGCCAGTGCCGTGTAGCGGTGAATAAACGTGTTTTCTTTAGTCTGTCCGTGTTTTTTCATAGATTTTATTAGTTTGTATGTTTTTGACTTTTGAATACTCAGTTTACTTGTTGATTTAATTGTTGTGTTAATTGTTCTTGTGTGTCCTAAATATGGCTCTTTGGAGACCTTGGGAAAATGCTCCATGCCACGAGGAGATGGTTGATGAACCTGTGCAGGCAGAATTCTTTCATAAAGATTTAGAGGAACAGACCCAAAGAGTAATCCTAAATATGTATGATTGTTTGTAAAACGAAAATCCAGATTCCTCGCAAAATCAAATTTTAAACAGAATTTGTATCCTGACAAAAATCAGTCGGTCTACCATTTATCGGGTTATAAAAAGGGGAGATGTAGTCAACCATTCCTTCCACAGAAAGCGCATAGGGCAAAAATTAAAAAGAATAGACGTGGGTTTTCAGGAAGATATTCGTCATATAATATACGGATTTTATAAAGAAAATTTGGTGCCCACGTTGGAAATGATACGGGATAAATTAAAAGATTATCCTGAAGATTTTTATAATTACAAATGCTTAGACTCACTGCACTGTATTGTAAAACTGTGTGGTTTTCAATACAAAAAATTAGATAAAAGAATGGTGATTATGGAGTCGTCTCTAATCGTTGAATTGCGCCAAGAATTTTTGCACAAAGTTAAAATCTATAGAGAGCAGAAAAGAAATCTGATTTACCTGGATGAAACGTGGTATGATACCCATGATGTTGTGCAGTACGGCTGGGTTGACGACAGCAACAAGTGCATTTTAAATGCACCATGCAACCGTGGAAAACGAATCATTATTCTCCATGCTGGCAGTGAAAATGGATTTATACCTAATGCCTTGCTGTTATCTGCCAAAAATATCAAAGAATCATGTGCCGACTATCATGAGGACATGACCTCCGACTTATTTGAAAAGTGGATAGAGCAGCAGTTAATACCAAACATTTCCCCAAATTCAGTGATTATTATGGACAATGCGCCATACCATTCCCGATAGAAAAACAAAATTCCGAATACAGGCACAAAAAAACAAGACATTATTGATTTTATGAAGGATAAGGGAATGGAAATACCACAAAAATCAACCAAAGCCATATTATTGGATCTTATTAAAAGACAAAAATTTGAAAAAGAGTATGTTGTTGACAATCTGCTTCAGCAAAATGGCCATGAAGTATTACATCTACCTCCCTATTACTGCATTTTTAACCCGATTGAGTTGGTCTGGGCTGCTTTAAAAAAAAAAGTAAGAAAACATAATCAGACCCCTCAATTAAGTGAATCGCTATTGGCCACAATAAGAGATGCAGTATCTCATATTGCTGCCACAGAGCTATGGAAGCAGTGTTCTAGGCATATTATTGAAAAAGAAAATGAATATTGTGTTTTGCCTCCTGTAAATCCCGTTGTAATTCCTCTACAAGATGACTCTAGCGACAGCTCCGAAGGCGAGGATGATATATTAATACCTATAATGTAAGTCTTTATATACCTTTTTATATACCTACCTGCTATGTAAATATTTGCCTATGTCAAACGTTGGAATTCTGTAATTTTTCCATTTCTTAACTTTCAGTCAACATAAATTAAACTCCCAATATAAGTATTTTTTATCCCAAATCAAAAAAATAAGAAGATAGTAAAATCCATTTATTGTGATATAAAAACATTATTATTATCGTTCTAAATAAATCACCGCACGCCTATGATACGTCATGAAATTACAAAGGACGCGCCGACCAAAGGTTTTTATGCTATTTCAAGTGACTTCAGATATACCATACTTTGAATGTCAACTAACTCATTTAAACTAGGGTTGCTGGTGATGTTGCTATGGTGTCTCTGTAAAGGTAGTATACCACTGAGGCAACAGTGAACAACATGTGGCATGCTACTTGCTTCCAATTGTTGCCTCTTGTTGTCATTCGACAGTGTTGCCAAAAATTCTATTCATACCATAAGCAGATTTTGTTCTTCTATATGGCATGCACTTTGTCATACATGAGTGTAGTATCCATCTTCACGATTCAATTCAGGCAACTTTAGTTTAGTATGTCATGTCATTACAAACAGTCGCAGCAGCTGCTTATTTAGTAATTTCTTTGGATCGGAAAAGAAAAACACCAGAATATTGGAGAAGAAACATATACCCCCTTCTTGCAGGGTGATGATCCACAATTTTTTTTAATTTCCAATACCAAATAGTTGTATTTTCCTATTTAAAGATATTAACCATTAATAAATAAGCCAACTATTTTTGCCTCATCACCCTACAAGCCTTGTCATAATTATATTTACCTGTCAATTCCTGTAATTTATCCTGCTTTAGTCGCGCATCTTTATAACCTTCAGAGTGTTGTTCCATAATTCACCCAAATTATGGTAATCTTCAATTAAACATAATGTTTTCACTCCATTTCGTCGCCTGATCGAAGCCATACCGACATGTTGCTGACAGCGCCCTCGAGAGGCAACAACGGCCAACTTGTGGCATGCGACAAGGAGTCATGTTTTTTTTTCTTTTTGTGTTGCCTCTATGGAAAGACAGTGTGCCGCATGCGTCAATGTCGGATACTATATGTTGCCTCAGTGGAACTGCGCCTTAACATTGGGCACTAGCGTGTGAGATGGAACTTCAAGACAATTATCTGATTTTAGATTTCGTGTGGTAACATACAACATATTGGCAGATTTGTACTGCGATTCTGATTACACAAGACAAGTTTTGTTTCCTTATTGTCCACCATTTGCCTTGAGTATTGATTATAGGAAAGAGCTAATACTCAAAGAAATTATAGGTTTGTGCACTCATTATAATTTATTCCAATTTTTTGATGGCATTTTTATGTTATGAAATAATCAGCTCAACACTTTTTGATATTCTTTACTGGCATTGGAAACAAGGTCGAACTGCTATAAATACATACAGTAATGGACAAAAGTATATAGACAAATTAATATTGTGCTATATTTCTTTTATAACTTGTTTTATTAATACACCAACCTGTATACATAATTCTTTATAGCATAATACTCACTTATACATAAATAAATTCATTAGACTCCCTTCAATAAAAAATTAATTGAGAAAAAACTGGAACTATGAAGGACTACAATATATAGACAAAGCAAAACAATTATAGAAAAAAGAAGCAAAGTTCATTGAATTATAGAAAACCAACCATGTTTGTGTTAATATTTTGTAGCATAACCATTATTATCAATCACCGCCTGGCATCGTCTCAGCATTGATGGTGATGTTTCTTGATATAAGATTCAACAATCTCTATCTCCACTTTTGTTCTAAAGTGGCAAAAAGTGCATCCTTGTTTGGATAATTTTTATCTCGTATTTGCTTATCTAAGTATTCCCATAGATTTTCAATGGGGATATATCGGGAGACTGTGAAGGCCATTTGAGGACTGGTATTTTTTCATGCAGAAAGAATTTCTTTGCGAGATTTGAAGTGTGCTTTGGGTCATTATCTTGCTGGAAGATTGATCTTAAGGGCATATTGCCTTCCATATAGGGTAACATGACATGCTTTAGTATGTCTGTTTATACAAACTTATCCATAATGCCATCTATTCCATGTAAAGGTCCCATCCCAAACGCCGAAAAGCACCCCCAAACTATAACAGACCCGCCTCCATGTGTGACAGTGGGCAAAGTGTACCTGGGGTTCAATCTTTGTCCACTAGGACATCTAACGTAATGAACACCATCTGATCCAAACATACTGAACTTGGATTCGTCACTGAAACATACCCTCTTCCAGTCACAGATGCTCCAATCAAGATGCAACCGTGCAAATTGTAATCGGTCCTTACGGTTTTTCCGCGAGATTAGCGGCTTCTTACTCGGGCGACGTGCAAATAACTTCAAATCATTTAATCTTCTACTTATAGTTTTCGTAGAAACATTGACAATTCCTTTTGTCTCGATTTCGGCTTTTATTTGTCTTGGGGTTTTAAACGGATCTTTGGACGAAATTACTTTTATTAATCTAACTGATCTAGCATTTAGTTTTCTAGGCCGACCACTTCTCTTAGAGGCTTCCAAGATACCTTTTTGTTTATATTTGTTCAATATTGCTCAAACTGCTTTACGCTTCAGCTTCAAATTTTTGGCAATGTCGACTTGACGTTGACCATCTTTGTATAACTCAATGATCTTAGTTTTCACATCGAAAGAAATTTCTGGATCACGCGGCATGGTCTTAAAATCACTCAACTTATTCCACAATACTTGATGAACTAATCCTCTTATGACACGAAACTGTACTAAACTAATGTTGAAAAGAATTTGTCTACATATTTTTGACCCTCATAAAAAAGTGCTTATATTCAAACTTGTATTGTGTTCATTGCAGATAATGTAAAAACAAGGAATTTAGTTTTTCTACTAATAAGCATTTTTTTTATGGAGCAATCAAGTATGAATTCGTTTTCTAAAGGTATTTAGGTAAATATTCATATTTGTCTATACCTATACTTTTGTCAGTTCAAGGTTTTTGCCTATTTCATTCAAATAATACTTGTAGCTCGTTACTGTTTTGTCAAAATGTTTTAAAAATGAGTAGTTATTTTTACAACAGGATACAATGCGGATATGATTGCCTTGCAAGAAGTAGATAGAAAGGTATTTAAATATGATCTAGAACCAACACTGAGTCAGCTTGGTTATGATGGAACCTTGACAACTAAAGGTGAAGAGGTAGCAGAAGGGCTGGCTTTCTTCACATTTAAAAAACGCTTCAACCTTCTAAGGTATATTCAATCATTTCTCCTAAAAAATGGTATCCTAATGAAGGAAGCACTTTGCTGAATGTTTGAATCAAATTTCAGGTCAGCGAAAATAGTCTTTGCAGAACAGTTACCCAAAAATCCACTATATTCAAGTATATGGTGTGAAGTTCAAAAAAATGAACAGCTGATGACTAGAGTTTTGAACAGAAGTACTACAATGCAAGTTAATCTAGTGATCTCTGTTGAGCATGATGAGATGATACTTGTTGGGAATATTCATATGTACTTCCATCCTGATGCTGATCATATTAGGTTACTTCACGGAGGAATGGCCATTTTATATTTGGAAGATTTGGTTAAAAAATTGAGGAAGGAGGTAGGTATGAGACTCAGTACAAATCTATAACACAGATTACTACTAGGGGCGATAGCCTGGTGGAAGTGAGGTATGTTGGATTTAGTAAGATTTCGTGACAACCACTGTGACACATCGGAACAGTACTTTTGAAAAGATGGGTTGTGCAATAAAAAACGTGTGTGGTGTATTGTGAAGATGTTATTCACGAGAAATCATCAAAGATAAATTCATTTAATATTTAATATATCATATGGTTTTTATGGGAAGGTAGATTTCCTCGAGAACACAACCATACATTGTTTATTTCAGCACCAATGGCAATCAGAATAGTTATTAAATAGGTATGTAACCAGTGCCTATTGTTTTTTGACGGCTTTTAGCGGTTATGTCACAATATCACATGAAATAGGTAAACAGACTGACGAACTGCACCATGTGCAGAGCATTCCCTAAGGGAAATTGCGCACTACACAGACTGATCCCTAATGCGGCTATGACTTGCTCTTGCACACACACAAAAGAAGTGGGTGATAGAGTACCATGGTTTTCAGTCACTTTCTGAAAATACTCACATCAATTTAATATGGACAGTCGATATTGTATACGTAGTTGTATTATTCAGGCATTGCTATGTAAAACCGAGATGAAATGAGATACTGTAGCGTAATCTATGAGAATTTGTCACTACTGTGGTTCTCCTCTTCACAATAATTAGAAATCTGATTTGGAAAGGTTAATGTCTTATCGATGGCACTGTAGCCAAACGTATATTAACATATAGCTAATGCGCTGTCAAAAATTTCTAATTGGCTTGGATAGGATAAACAGAGCTGTAACAGATCTCATAGAGGATGCGGCTTATTTCTTCTCGGATAATATTTTGGATGCGGGAATATAGTATCAGGGTCGCTGTATTCAGGTAGAATACCTTGAACATTGACTTTATAACAAGGATCAATAAAGATAAACACAAATCGCACCCCCATGACAAACAAATTGTCATACTAACAGTCACAAGTACAAATGCTGAAGACTCGCACAGAGTGACGATATAACTTTCATAACATACCTCTTTAAGCTGATATAAATAATTGTACAGTCATGGACAAAAGTATGGAAAGATTTTTATTTCAAACATTTTTCCAGCTTGCCTTGTGGACAACAATAAATTGTGCTGTTGATTTTATATGCCTGCTTAGGTTTCCCATATTTTTACATGTCTACTTTTTGTGCCATAGACATTTCTACCTTATTTGCGTTTTTTTCTTTGTTTATGTCTTGGACAAATGTATAGGAAGTTTTTTCATATCAGCATTATTACATATTTAAAATCATTGGATTAGTTCTGTCGTATCACTGCTACCTGTATAACCAGCACTCTATTAAGAATGGGCATGATTAAGTATTTGCCGGAAGAGTTGCAACTTAAAGTTGTCGAGTTGAAAAGACTGGGTGTAAAGCAATGTACTAGGTGTATAGCAAGAAATTTAAGCTTAAGCGAGGGTGTCGTTTCAAGAATTCTAAAAAAGTTTGAGTGACTAGGAATCTAATCGGCCAAAGTCAGGTCGTCCTAGAAAAACTACCCCCTATGTTGATAAGGGCATTAAAAGAGTTTCGATAGCTGATCCGCATAAGTCATCCGTCCAAATTAATGCAAAAATTCGTCAATATTTTAACATAACGGCCCGTACTGTGAGAAGACGTTTATGTGAAGTTGGGTTGTTTGGAAGAGTTCCTGTCAAAAAACCGTTACTGTCTAAAAATAATCGAATGGCCAGACTTCAGTTTGCTCAGAGACATTTAAATTGGACACCTAAAAACTGGGGTACGGTGCTTTGGAGTGACGAAAGCAAATTTAAAATATCTGGTGCTGATGGAAGATCGTTTGTAAGAAGACCTGTCGGGAAAAAAATTGATATCAAGTATCAAAATCCTACAGTGGTGGTGGCAGTCTTATCGTCTGGATGTGTTTTTCCAGGCCTGGAACGGGCCCGATACTGAAAATAACTGGGAAAATGGATCGCTTTATGTACCGCGACATATTACAGAATACTATGTTACCTTATGTCGAAGAAGAAATGCCGCTGTTGTGGAGATATCAACAAGATAACGACCAGAAACATTAATCCCATTTAGTAAAAAATTGGTATTTAGAGAAAAGCGTTGATTCACTGGAATGGCCTTCGCGATCCACCGACCTCAATCCAATTGAGCACCTTTGGGAGCACTTAGAGCGGAAAATTCGGCAAAGAATTATTCATAGTAAGAATGATCTATGGGAAGCTCTACAAGATGAATGTCGATTCCAGTTGATGTGTGTCGAAATCTTGTTGATTCCATGAAGATGTAGGATTAAGGCGAAAGAATTTTCAACAAAATACTGAACATTGCTTGTTTAATTTGTATATTTAACTTTTTTTTATTAATTAGAATATTCTTTTTCATACTTTTGACCAAGGGTTTTCTTTATTTATCATATATGAGACTTGGTTTTATTTTGTATTTTCATTGATTTCTAAAATGTTACTAAGTTAGGAGTGGATGTTTATTTTTTAGTATGTAATTAATTATTGATTAACAAATATTAAGAGTATAACCAGAACACAAATCTTTCCATACTTTTGTCCATGACTGTACGTGCATAGACGCCTTGCATATGTATGTGTGAATATAGGCCGCTTTACAAGTACGGTTTGCACGACAGTTTTGGCGCGTACGCGCTAATTCTCTGTGTTCAACACTTCCGTGTAAATGCTAGGCCGCTGGTGCGTGGAACGTCGCGTGGACCTCCAGAACGGAACGAAAACGTGGGGCGCGCGCCGGTCAGCATTTACACAGACACGTCTGAACTCGCAAGCCCGGCGCCTGAGTTTCTGGTGGATTCTCTGTTGAGATATGAAATATTATAATGGCGTGCACGAGGGACAACTTAGACAAATTTATTGATATACGCATATATTGGTTCCGTCATTGCTTATTGAAGGTAAAAAGTGAAGACTAAAAACAAAATCTTAAAAAACACTGCTTATCAAGAATTAGTGCAATTTTCCCTACACTTTTTACCAAAAACCTTCTTTTCTTTTGGTTTCCGCGTTAAAATATACGTGTATTGCAGCACAAGCATCGCCTGGTCTTTTAACTTTTTCTTAAACATGTTGTTTAAAACGACGCGTCGTGCTATAAATATTTATATCTGATGAAAGATACCTACCGAAAATGTATATTTGAATTGCCAAAGTCATTTTTACCAGTGTTATTTGACCCGTACAAAGTATTTTTTTGTTTCAGAATACCGACAAGAGAGTTTCATTGATACTTTGTGGAGATTTTAATAGTACACCAGACTGTGGCATTTATAAACTATACACCACTGGAGACGTTTCCAAGGATTGTATTGACTATCAAAGCAGTATGTACAAATATGCCATCTTCAATATTTCTGAATATCATTCTTTTGCAATACTGAATTGATTGAGGCTTACTAGAATTTAACTCATTTATAATTTCTAAATCATGCACCTCAGAAAAAGAAACCTGAATGCAATTGTTTGCGTTCGGGGATATACATAATAAATCGCCGACTGCATCAAGGAATTTACGGATAACTTATTGGTTACTTAACATTAAGTAGTACTAACTTATTTTCGGTTGCACCAACAAAAAGTGACGATTAGTCTCAAATTAAATGTGATATATAATAAAAATACTCCCAAGTATTTGAACTATTAGGGCGATCAAAGGGAGAATCTAAAAGGTGACTTAGGGCCGTATTTTCAGTCGTTCCTACAATACTTGTAGGACGTCTTTATGGCCTCTTGATTTTCATAATATTTCCTCTCCTTCAGAAAGGCTGGGATATTTCCAGATTTCTACTGTTCCGTGTGAGCATCAGCGCTCTCTTACTGTCAGGATGTGCTTTCTTCTTGAATTGTAGGAAATTTCAGGCTATATAACAGATGATATAAATAAAAGCATGACCAGTTTGATGCAAATAGATTTGTAACATAACCTCAAAATAAAGCGCTGACACGGAAGTGTAGAAAATTACGAAAATCAAGGAGGCCATAAAGGCGTCCTACAATTGAATCAGTGAGTGAAAGAACAATACGTCTCCAAAATGACCATTTTGAGAAAAAAAGCAAAACCATGGGTTACTTGGCCTAGTCATGTATTGTGAAGTTATAGAAGTCCTGGTGACTGATACTAATACCTACATATATTTAAAAAGAAATTACTGCAGAAAAGATATTTTAAGAAGAATGACTTGGAGTTATACTGTTATTTCACTCAATTGAAAAAAAAATTGTTGAAAGTAATTTTATAAATTTATTGGTTGATATTTAACAGACTTGTATTTTCATTGAGAATCTTCAGTTTTTACTTTCTAAGAAACCATATGGTGGTAAAACTCAAGGGATTCATCAGAAAAGTAACGTAAAAGTTTCGACTCAGCTATTTTCTTCGAATATGTCTGAAAACCACTTATGAGTTTCACTAGTGTATGTAAATTGACTGTACTGTGAAATGGAGAAATTAACTTTTTGTCCATCAGCTGACTTGGGTTTTCTTATAAAGTTGCGGCCTCCAGTTTTTAAAGTCAATAATATCGTTACATCTAATGGTAGTAAGTAAAAATGGCGACACGTTTCGGGAACTTGGTATCATTTGCTCATATTCTTCAGGAATATATATGCGATCAGCTCTTCTTATAACCCTTTTAACAGTTCCGAAATCCCTATCTCAGGGCAGAAAGGAATGGCCACGGACTGGAAAGTTATGAACTATTTTCTTGCTGCTGTCAGTGTCATTGAAAACGTACCATTGTGTGGTTGCGATTTTTCCCAGGACACCCGTCACAAAATAAGTGAAATTTGGTAATTTCTGTTATTCACTTGATAGGATCTACGGCACAATATGGCGGTTGAGTGGAAGAACGGTACATGCGCCGCACGTTCTTTCACTCAGCCGTAAATTAAGCAGACTGCCACCGAACGTACGAGGCTCGTCGTTGTACCATTCTTTCGCTATATGATGAGTCTTCGAGATCCACACAATTTGGCCATGACGGGTGAAATTGCGATTTCTGTTCTAGCATTTGTATTGTTCTTTCACTCACCGATTCCGTTGTAGGAACAACTGACGATATGGCCCTTAGAGCTGGCAGATCACAATATCATAGTGAGATGGGACTACCCCGGCGCATTTTTATAGTAGACTCAATTACTTCGGAGAAATGGATCCGCTGGGGTTTTTTAAAAAGGTGGATATCCAAGAACGAATTATCTCCTTACCCCAGTACTGAACCCTACAACAAGAACTGAACAATGAAGCTCTGTAACGATCAGGGTTGTGGTCGAAAGAACCATAATTAGAGATCACAAAGCGGTAATCATTGTAACAACATATTCCGCCGGTTGGTACCTCCACTTTCGATAGTCCGAGACCGTCTACCACCTACGGACAATGACAACACCCATCGCCAAGAGAAAAAATATCTCGGGACGGGAAAACGCAATACATTATCAGAATGTAGACTGTACAAGAAGAAATTATCCTTTTTTTTGAAATATTTTAATATGCTACATTTTATCACAATGTGAGTAATATTTTCTTTTTATTGTCAGTAATACAGTCAACAATGAAGTTTGTAAGGTCAGTGCATTTTGAATTTTTCACAATGGTTTATTGAGTCCCACCACCAGTTTTCATAAGTTCTACCTTGTCTTTGGCCTTTTGTTTCCGAAGCTCCTTTTCTGTGATCATATAGCTTTTTAATAATGAATCGATACCCGCATTAAATCTGTCAATGATTCTGCTCCACGTCTCGCTTTTTCGTGGAAGGAGACACCGTCAGTGTTTTTTTATTTGCAGTGATTGAATTCTGTTATTATTGGTAGAAGTGTTGATGTAAAATTGGTATATCTTTTCATTTTTCTCACGTTGATTGCACTTGTGCTTTAAAATAAAAACTTCGAAAAAGCGAAATAGTTGTGGAAAAACTTGGAAATGCACTGACGTTTACATAATTTCAATGTGGAAATATCATTTTCAATACAGAATATCTATTTTCAAACAGCACAGACACCGTCGTTAGAACGTGACAAAATCACTAGCTTCCTGTGGGGTTGCCAAGGTGAATGATAGTTTAGTTGAGGAAAATCTTGGTTTAACTTAAAAAATCTTGAGTGTTCCTCCTTTGTTAATCTGTACTTAAGGAAATACTGGTGCAATCGGCCATTAGGGAATTAGTTAACACCTGAAACCTATCCTGTTGTTTTCATGCTGATGATCATCTATGTATGCCCGTAAATGGAACCATATAAGCTAGAATTAGGGAACTAGCCATCCACAGGACACGAAATTTATGATTTTGAATTTATTATATTATTAGTTGAGTTCCTGTGCCCTATGTTGTAACACATAAAAGACAATTAAAAAAAATCGTCCATCCCATTGCCTTGTATCTTTTATCTGACAGGTCCTTAGGTGACCAATCGCTTTTCTTATTTTTAGATAAAGAAGAAGCCATACAGAATATTGAATTCAAGCAGGAATTGAAGCTCAACAGCGCTTGTGGAACCCCGCAATACACCAATTTCACAGCTGGATTTGCTAACTGCTTAGATTATATTTATTATGACACAGATAACTTGCAGGTATCGCAAGTTGTGCCTCTACCATCACAGGAAGAATTGACACAGAATGTAGCTTTACCAAGTGTTGTATTTCCATCCGATCACATAGCATTGATTAGTGATTTAAAATGGAATCAATGAATTATTTATCGATAATTCCTAATGAAAATAAATATTTTTCGTTTCTTGAATTATTTTCTACCTTATCATTGACGTGAACATAATGAGTCCTTGACATGACCTTGATGGATATGGTCGTGGTCAAACATGCTATGTACTATACCCTATTTCACGAGTATCCATCACGCTTTGACGTCTACTGAGGTGAACAGCTGATCAGCAAGTGAACTTTTTGTGTTAGTGTGCAACGTCGGCAATAGTGAATAGTGTAGTGTACAAAAGTCCAAAACAAAATTCGGCTCTGACTACCTGGCGTTGACCGATTCGTCATCATCAATATCATAATCTATACGCCTACAATAATGCAAACCCCAAGACAGCATATACCGGGTGATTCACCAAGGTGGCTCACCCCTATACCTTTTCTATCATTGTAGAAAAACGAAATTTGTGGGTTGCGAATTGTAGATGATTTTACATTTTTTGATATATTCACTTACTTTGACGTACTTCCGGTTTGAACGGAAACGACTCCAACTTTCAATTTTTAAATGGGACACCCTATATATTTTTACTTATATCGGTCGAGAATGACATTCTAAACTCAACAACGCCTCACTTTGCAATATTGACAAATAAAGTCACTTTTATTTCAATTTTTACTTTTCGATCTAGATTACCAATAATTTGACTCATTTTATTTTCACTATTTTTCTGAAAAATTGTATGGAACGGACATATCGAACAACAATTAATACGTATCTGCATTCGGTATACGCTGCACTAAGGCCCGTATCGTCAGTCGTCCCTACAATTGTAGGGCGCGTTTATGGCCTCCTTGATTGTCATACTGCTTTCTCTCCTTCAAAAATTTCTAGATTACACTTGTCCCGTGTCAGCGTCAGCGCTCTCCTATTGTGAAGATATGTTTTCTTTTTAAATTGTAGGAAATTTCAGGCTGATAAAACATGATATAACTCAAAAGCAAGCACAATTTGATACAAATAGATGTTTGTGACATAACCTCAACAATTGTAGGGACGACTGACGATACGGGCCTTTAAGTCCTATTATCCTAGTTATCCGTGACAAACAATTGAATGTGTTGCTAGGGCTACTTGACAAATACCTAATATAGGTTATAGAAAATACTGTTAGCTTTAAAAATGTATGTTACTTAATTTACAATTGAAAACTATACGAGAAAGAGAAAATTGACATCCAGTTGATTTACGGGGAAGCAAGAAAAAAATGCAACTGAGGCAGCTCAAATTTATTCTCAGAGATTTCCCAAACGTCGCCATCCCACTCGGCATTATTTTCCAAAACTGGAGCAGAAATGAACCAGAAGAAAATGCCAATAACTTTATCGTCAGTGAAGAAAAATTAATAGACCTATGTTGAAGTAAATTGTATAGCGTCAATTCGGCAAATTGTTTTAGAATGTGACAAGTTATTCATCCGTTGGAAGAATTCTTCACAAATATAATTATCGATCATTAAAATACTAATTACTCCAATACCTTGACCTTGCCGACCACAACCGAAGATTAACTTATGGCAACTTGTTTTTGACTAAATACAGAGATTCTCGTTTCCAGTTTAAGGTTGATTCTCACTATACATTCCGTTTCCATTCCATATCAGTTTCGTAAACGTTCAGTACAATTTGATTGTATACACGGATAATGTGCATACACAAGCAATAGCCTGCTTTAAGCGAAGGCGAATATTTAATTTCAATAATTTACGGAACGATTACGGAATGGAAACGGAATGTATAGTGAGAATCAACCTTTATAATTATTTATTCAGACGAAAGTCGGTTTACCAACTTAGGTATGTTCAATCATCAATCGGAATAATAAAAGACACTGGTCATATAGTATAGTAGGAGTACCTCCTACTACACTACAGCGTAAGTGCACGCGCAAAATCGAGGTGTGTTTATGTTGAAAATGCATAGTTTCTACATGGAATTTTAAACTGAAAATCGTACCAGCCATAAATGTGTGGAAGACTAACAATGTCAAATTAAATTTGGAATTGTAGTGCATCAACGTAAAGATATATCTGCAATTCATCAAAAATCTATTTGGAGCATTTTGCCTTTTTCGCGGCATGTGTTTTTTGCATTTCCAACTGTTTATATTTGGAACCATAGGCGTGCCCACAATTATTTCCCGAGTAATGATATAATGAGGTGCTGGAAATGTGGAAAATTACCATCGTGTTGGAGATAAGGGAAATGGAGACTTCTTGACTTTACCATATTGGTTTCTATGATAGAAAAGGTTTTTAGGGGATTCCTGAATTTTGAGTGACACCTACCAGATCTACTGATGAAGTATTGAGACAGATACATAGTATAAATATGGAGGAGAAGTATAAAAAGGATGGAGCTAGTGAGGGAGTGGAGAGTCTGGTCTCACTGAGTGAAAAGGGATTTTGTACAGAGGACGTTTTGAAACTAAAAGATTATACCATTTCGATTCAAGAAAAATTAATAAAGGAATTGTACGAAAAGAAAGACCAATTAAACAAAAGAATTGGGAAGATGCAACAGCCGTCACAAGAAGCAATTACGACTTACGCTGATATGGTTAAAGCTTCAGGGCCTTCAACCGTTAATTCGCCTACAGCAGTGGTAGAATATAAGCAGCATTACTTACCATTGCAAACACGTATAGCAAAAAAACAATCACCAGTATTAAAACCCATAAATACAGTCATTGTTAATCTCAATTATAAACGTTTTCATGAAAAATATTTGAGCATGCAAAACTCGAGGTAAAAGAAATAAATTAAAAATAATTCATAACACAAACAGACTTCATCCATCAGAACAGCTGTATAGAGATGCAGAAACTCTAGATCTTCGGCAATTGTTTTCGTTCAGTATACTGGTACCTATATCAATTTAAAGACAAACACGTTAGTACCGATACAATATACTTATTCGACTAGGAACAGAACTAATAGAATAAGCAGGACTCCCTTGTCTGCCAAAAAAAATAGGACAAAAAAATGCTATACGTATCTCGCCAGTCGGTTATATAGCTTCCTGTCTGATAAAAGAAAAAAAATCTTCATTACCAAAATTTAAAAAAATAAATAAAAAAATTCTTACTTGAAAAGGGACAAGAAAAAGTTCACATTATAGAAAATATGTAAAATATTACACTTTCATTTAGTGTGTCATGTTATAAATATATGAATTTACATAGATGCACACCTCAGGTGGGATATGCATATAACGTATGTCGCGAAAAAGTTGCAGTCCGTTCTATATCGAATAAGAAGAATTAAAAACAGTACTGTCAATTAAAAATACTATATCATGCATTGGCAGAATATTACATAAATTATGGTATAATAGCATGGAGAGCAGCAAACGTAACTCATATATGTATTCAAACTAGAAATAACTCAGAAAAGTATTTTAAAGACAATATCTCATAAACCCCGACTGTATCCAACTGACCATCTCTATAAAGAAACTGGAATATTAGACATAAGGAAATTATACCTACTAAAAGTTTTGATAGTGCAACACATATCGCGTCCTCTCAACCAAGAGCCGATACATTCTTACCAAACAAGAAACAGGAATTATTTAAAGGTGGCAAAACCAGAAAAAAATGTAATGCTCAGATCGTATTCTTACCTAGGGCCAAGATGTTACAATCTCCTTCCACAGGACCTGAAGATGATACGTTCCAAACACACATTTAAAAGGAAAGTAAAAGGCTGGGTAACATCTATGCTCAGACAGAGAATTCACGAAATCGTTGACTTAAAAAGATTACACTTACCTTGAAAACCAATTACCAGAATAAAGCTACCAAATTACACAAAATACCCTATACCCAACACTACTGATTTAGACAATATAAACCTGCTATACTTATTTGCCGATTTTAACAACATACTCGATATATCCCCCAAACAGAGAACAAAAACACTAATAACTTAAGATAGACTTTGTGCCCTAAATGAGACATTTTACCTTAAAAAGGATATAATTAAATGAAGCCATCCATACTCCCACTTTGTCAGATAATGTATTTTAAAATCGTATTTAATGTTGTTCTTTTCTTAGAAAATCACGTGTGTCTTTTTATTTCTAGTTTAAGTAGTACGTAATTATTCATAAGCTAATGCATACTCGCGTTCAAGGCTAGCATTCTGCGGGTTTTCTACCATGTTTATTGTTCTAAAATAAGTCATTTCTAGTTATCTGTTATAGTTTTGAAAATAAACATTATTATTATTAAAAAAAATCAGTTACCGATTTTATTATATATAATATAAATGTTTGACTTTATTGTTTTTTTTATTATTGATAAAGTTCATTATTGTTTCTTTGTCTTTTGGATCTTTAAAAAAATTTATAGATGTTTTAACAAATTAGTAAACTATTGGTTAGGTAATACTATTATAGTTTTTTAGATGTAGGTTTTTAAAATAAAAAAAAAATGTATATTTATTCTAATAGCCTGTTTATCATTATGTTTTATAAATATTCAACGTCATGTAGCTAAAAATGTGCTAGCAGGACAATGATAAGTTGAAAGTGTACGACCTCAATGGGTATATTCCCCCACGCACAAGCATTCTTGTGGTGGTGTTGTTTATTTGCGGGATATGCTTTTTTTCTTTTGCTTATAAATTGTATTGTTTCTTCCATAAACATTATTATATTATGCTAGAAGTCAATACGGGAGTCGATTTGTGAGTATACAAGTGTTCGATTAGACAAGGTTAATTTCAGTTAAAAACCATCTCTTCTAACCATGGCCTGAGAGGTAACATTCTTCAGACAACTCATTTTAAGCGGACTCTTTGGGTATAAAATAATGGGAATTAAACAAAAAATCGATCTTTGTCTTCTTTATTATTTAAATCTTATCGTTTACAGACTATGGATATTTCAATACATTCACAGTTACAAATATTTGATCACTGTGTCCCACTGCAACTAAGTGTCAGGATGTACTTTCCTTTTATGCTTTCTCAACACAGTTATCGACGTATAACACTTCTGACATTGTTCACACTTGAACTGTTTCACTCCACTGTGGTTCCACAGGTGGTACTTCAAATGCACGCTCTGCAAGTAGGATTTTCCGCAGAAAGTGCACAGGTACTTCCTTCCCTTATGCTTCTTCAAATGGTACCTGTACGTGTCATATGTTTTGAAGCCTATGTTACAATCCTCACACTTGTAACGTTCAATGCTCGTGTGCAGATGTTCGTGTTTCTCGAGGCTCCAGGGGGTTATAAATGACTTGTTGCAGCCTTTATAGCTGCATGTGTACCTGAAAAAGCAGTGAGGTCTGAAATATGCTTATAAATAATGTATCAATCGTAAAATAATAGTACCAGTAGATGGTAAATTCTCGTTTTATCTTCTAAGCAAAGTGACAGACCAGAATTAGCTATGTTTTACGGTTTTTTGTCCAACTCAATGTTCTAAAGGAACCGAATTGCATTCTGTTAGCAATAAAATGACTATTTGAAGAAAATAAACACCTATTTTTGCTAATAAAAACAGTTGTAAAAGTTCCTGGCAGGATCCACGTAGAGTATTTTTTGTTACGTTTTCACCAAATATTTGGACCCCTTACAACTGCTCCCAGAGTATTAACCATAACATCCCGCAGATTGACTGGATTAGTAGGTCGAATAATGTGTCGTTTCTATGATACAGGATCTCAAACATTTCAGAAAAGTCACTGCCAGTTATATCTCATGTGATGTGTACAAGGTAACACAAAAAAATTCAAAGCTTCATGCTGAAAAAGGTGGTCCAAACATCTTGTATGTTTTTCGCATACCTGATATTACTATGTCGCCTCATGTGAGCATAGTGCGTTCCTCTTTTACCAAAGGACTCGTTGCATATTACACAGTGGTACCTGTGCATCTTCATGCAGTGCTCATAAAACTCTCCTGCATTCATCAGTATAGCCAAATCGCATTGGTTACATTGGAACATACCATCTCTGTTTCTGCCGTGATTTACTATGTGGTGGTAGAATTCGCTGTCCGTTAGCCTATAATAAAAATGGTACGGTACTTCATCATGGCAGAATGTGAAAGTATATCATGAAATTGAATTTTCATCAGTGTTTGGTGTAAATAGTTCTGAATATAGTCCCAAGTTTCACCAGATTCATTACTGCCAACAGTACAGACTTAAAACAAAGATGTCAGTTGCTGTTTAGATGTTTACCTCAACAGTCGTTAAAAGTTAAAACCTGATGATGTGAAAAAACAGATTAGAATAGATTATGAAAGTAAACTTATAGATTAATAAATTATAGATATTAAGGACATTTCATTACATTGCAGGTAATTGTATGGTATGACTTTGGAGTCATTATGTATTTTTATAGTACCATTTATCAAATTAGCCGCTAGGGTCCATTCTCTGATACTGCTTATACATACATATATTTTTTTACTTCATTTATATATATGCTTATCTTATTATGATGTAAACCTAAAACCAGGGGTTAAGTGGAAGAGCGGATATGCCCATATGTTCATATAAAACTGGTTTTGCAAATTGTTTTGTATTTTCTCTTGTGGGAATAAAGACATTATTATTATTATTTGATGAAACCTCAATTGTAACTTCTGGTTTTTTTAGAGGAATAATTACAAGATAATATAAACGTTTCATTGTCTATGTTGCATAATTGGCTTTCATTTTAATAATTTATATTTAAATCTAAACAAGACACAGTGCAAGGAAAAGTTATACATGCTTTTGATGACCAGGCTCCATGGGTGATTTCTTGGATGACTAAAAAAAAACTCATATAGACAGATCTGCTTTGTTTTAAATGTGTCACACATTTTTGAAAACCACTTCGTAAAGTCTGTAACAACACTTTGAATAATTTTGGTAAGTTTTGTTGAAATTTGGGAAGGCACATCGAATAAAAAGAAAATATTTAAATCCGGCGAGTGGTCATTCTCATGATATTTTGTGATTATCAAAGCTTTTTTTTGAGGGTTTTGTTAAATTATACGAGCCTACGACAGTTTGCCCCTTAAAAATCTAATTAGTACAATGGGTATGCATGAGATACTACAAAAACAATCATAAAGAAATTCCGTAATGCATATTTTTTCGTTTTTGAAAGAAATAAATCTGGTCAAAACGTCTTACTAAGGAAAAGCATATGCCTTGAGAGGGGGAAAGAGTAGGGGGTTGAATTTGGTTTGTTTAGGGTAAACTCGACCCAATATTATTAGTAGACACTAAGTACTAATCTGATGTTTTGCCCAAAAATAATTTGGGTCAAAAATCGCTCAATCGGCCCCCATTATTTAAGCGTTTATGGAATACAAAGATCGAAAAAGGCAAATAAGACAATTTTGTTGGCCCTGACAGGAAATTAATGCGAGACTCTGATATTATGAAAATGTAGCGAATAATAAGCTCAGTAGTTTCATTGAACTGAGCTGCAATATGTGTAGAATTTTTTTCTGCATTCTCAGTTCACTTTCTCCTGAGAATCTTGGTGCTGTAAGTGAAGAAGAAAATGAATGCTTAGACCAAGATGCTAAGCTTATGATCAGCAGATACCAAGGAAGGCTGGGAGCAAACATGACAGCAGTCGACTGCTGGATGCTGAAGAGAGTTCAACCGGAAAGGAGACAAACGAGTCACAGATTGAAAAGCACTTGTGAAGGTAGACAAAAATATACCAGAAGTCATATTGGTAGAGTTAATGTCTTTAGCATTATTTTCGAACTACTACTGTAAATACAAATTTAATGTTACATACAATGATTAAAATTAAAATTAATTCATGTCTTCAGTTAAACTAAATATCGATGTAGTAATAGAAATGAAACCAAGCTGTATTTTAATTTCACATATACAGTAATGGACAAAAGTATATAGACAAATATGAATATTTACCTAAATACCTTTAGAAAACGAATTCATACTTCATTGCTTCATAAACAAATGCGTTATTAGTAGAAAAAGTAAGAAGCCGCTAATCTCGAAGAAAAACCGTAAGGACCGATTACAATTTTGCATGGTTGCATCTTGATCGGAGCATCTGTGACTGGAAGAGGGTATGTTTCAGTGACGAATCCAAGTTCAATATGTTTGGATTAGATGGTGTCCATTGCGTTAGACGTCCTAGTGGACAAAGATTGAACCCCAAATAGACTTTGCCCACTGTCAATCATGGGAGGCGGCTCTGTTATGGTTTGGGGGTGCTTTTCGAGGTTTGGGATGGGAACTTTACATAGAATAGATGGCATTATGGATAAGTTCGTATACATATACATACTAAAGCATGTCATGTTACCTTATATGGAAGACAATATGCCCTTAAGATCAATCTTCCAGCAAGCTAATGTCCCGGAGCACACTTCAAATCTCGCAAAGAAATTCTTTCTGGACGAAAAAATACCAGTTCTCAAATGGCCTTCACAGTCTCCCGAAATAAATCCCATTGAAAATCTATGGGAATACTTAGATAAGCAAATACGAGATAAAAATTATTCAAACAAGGATAAAGTTTTCGCCGCTTTAGAGCAAAAGTGGAGACAGATTGATGAATCTTATATCAAGAAACTTCTACAATCTATGCCGGGACGATGGCAGGCGGTGATTGATAATAATGGTTATGCTACAAAATATTAACACAAACATGGTTGGTTTTCCATAATTCAATGAACTTTGCTTCTTTTATCTATAATTGTTTTGCTTTGTCTATATATTTTAGTCCTTCATAGTTCCAGTTTTTTTCAATTAATTTTTTATTGAAGAGAGTCTAATGAATTTATTTAAGTATAAGTAAGTAGTATGCTATAACGAATTATGTATATAGGTTAGTGTATTAATAAAACAAGTTAAACAAGAAATACAGCACAATATTAATTTGTCTATATACTTTTGTCCATTACTGTACATGTGTTCAAAATAATAACATAACCATTGAAAGGGACAAATAAAAGTCCAATTTTGCAGTCCTTTGTTATCAGTGATATGTCTGTACCTTAAATAATTTATCTGATTACAAAAAAATTGTTTACAGGGTTGTTACGATCTATTTCGAAAATAACGGACTTTCAAAGAAAATTTAATTATCACTAAAAGATGCATCCCTCAAAGTTTGTGCAGGGACTTTATTAACTCCATAGAAAAAAAGAACAAAAATAACTATGCAATTTAAAATTTTTCAACTGCTAAAATCTTTTTTCTCTCCGCTATACTGGTCAGAAGGTTTATGCATGTTATGACCAAGAAGGGGGTTTTTGCTAACAATTGACATTTTCTGCATGAAAAATAAGTTGAAAAAGATACCAAAATCCCAAGTGAGCTAGAATAGACTGTACTGATGAAATGTAGAATTCATTTAGGGCATGCATCTCACGAAACCATAAAAACAAGATTACCTTTCATCAGGACATTTAGGGCAGACATACTGCTTATGGTACCGTCTTCTAAACTTGAATTTTGGAGGATTAATGAAAATTTTTTCTTCACCTTCTGCCTTTATGCCACTACCTGTATTTAGGTAGCTTATCAGCTGCTGTTGGATTTGGTGTCCATAAACTATTTCCTGACAAAATCAATTAAAATATAACAATGAAAAAATCTATCAAAAAAGTGCTATGTTCTACTGGCTGTCAAATCAATACCACAGATGTAGAAATAAAAGTTTGGTGGCATAGGAACCAAGATTGCTGAAATGTCTGTGAAATTTTACTTCTACATAACTATGTTTCTTTTGGCGGGTAGTAATACACGGAGACTGCTCAGCAAGAAAAACTACAAGTTTTAGATGTTCCTTCAGAAATATTTTGCTTACATTTTCTTGATCAGCCTTTGGGTCATCTTCATCAGGTATTTCTAGCTCAGGTGTATCCTCTGTGAGATTTTCAAAGTCTTCATAGTTGCTTATGGTAATAATATTATCAGTTGCAGTTGTGTCCACCATATACAATGTATTATGTTCTTCCATATTTTCGCCCTCAAACTGCTCCACGTCTCCTTGCTCTTGTGCTACTATTTGAATAATCTGAATTTGCTGAAATGAAAGCAATTCTTGATTCAATTTTCGTGAGTTTGTAGTACTCTACAGTCATGTATCTGTTTATAACTTATTATGTTAACTCAATAGCCAACTCTTCATGATGAAAATTAAACCAAATTCTCTGCAATGATTTCTGGCTTCAGCGCCAGACAGATCAACAGTACTCAAACACTTTACTTATTTGCTAAACAATTTCTGAGGTGCAAAACCTTAAGAATTTAGAAGTCACTGCAGCCAAAATTGTGTTTCACACCTCCAGATTATTCATTTCAGAGCTTTTAGAAGGCACAGTATTGGCTGAAAGAAATAGCAGTTACTTATACATAAAGACTGAAAAAAGTCATAGAAAATGTTGATGCTTTAAGGTTGGCATATAAATGGAGCAATAGTGGCCACATGAACAATATTATATTTTATACACAAACTTATGGTGCAAGCCAATCCTTTGTTTATAAAAACAGGGGCAGGTTATGTTCCATATATAATTTAGAGCAACCAGGATACCCAGTAATGAAGAAAAACTGTGCTACCTGATTGTCTTGCTGCACCTCCTCATGCTCTTGTAGAGGCTCTATTAATTCTTCATCAATTATGTCTTGTTCATACGAATGCCTCATATCTTCTGTGGTTAAATCATTATCTGCTGTATCATGTGAACTCTCAGTATTGTGACTCTTTGTGTACATGTGATCATCTGTTAGTTCCTTCTTTATTAGCTGATCTACCAACCATTCATTGGTTTCTTTAAAACGTTTTATGAAAATATAGGCTATTCTTAATGTTTTGAAGCATTGTGTGCATACTGTCGTAGGTAGGCTCTCAATTTCATCTAGCTAAATAACAAAAAGTGAAAGATGAAATATTAATTCAATTTAAAATAGTCTATTATTGGAGCATTGTAAATTTAAAATCTCACTAACAATGGTTCTAAATCTAAAAGTGCAGCATGATCAACATTAAATAACTAATTATCAAAAATGTCAAAAACAGATCTATTTTACTTTTTTACATGACTTGCTTTCCAGCACCTGCCAATACCATTCCAATGATTTAGAGTGACACACCCTTGAAACCACTCATTTTTGAAATCTGTTGCCCTCCCATACACTAGCTGTTTATTTGGTGCTATGTGTCAAGACTGTAAAATGTTAAATTGTTGTCAGTTCTCCATACACAGAATTTGGTTGACACAGTGCTTTTCAAAAAGGTCCCCCTACTTATTTTTTAAATGGTTTAAGTTAAGAATCTGAAATTCAGGATGATGAAAGTAACACATATATACTATATTTTAACATAAACATAACCTCATCATTTTGAAGCCCCTTAAGAGTACTTTATAACCCTAGAACAGGCTTGTCCAACATAATTTTGTAAAGGGCCATGTTTAGTATTTTTGTAAGCATAGCGAGACAAAAGAAAAGTAAAGTGTGACACATTCTGATATCGTTGATTTATTTATTTCACTTACCAGTATAATATTTATTTAGATACTCTTATAATAATAATAATAATGTCTTTATTAATCCATCCACACTGCGAGGCGAAGTTTAGCCAGCTGGATACTCTACCACTTAACCTCACAGCGCAGTCGTCTAACTAATATATACAATAATTAAGGCTTAAATAGAGTAATCTAATTAATGAGATGTCTGACATTTTTTCTGTTTGCACAGTGTTAGCTGGTATTTTAGAAGTGGCTATGCGCAAAATACCTGTAAGTTGGCTGTCTAATAAAGATGATCTCCTTTTTGATCTGTCATATTTCATGCGTGAAAACAGCTGCTCGCAAATATATGTACTACCGAATAAAGAAATGTTTTGAAGAGCTAATTTACTAAGGTTTGGGTATTGGTTGGGTGTCAAATACTGTTTTTAAAATTCAAATAATTCATTTGGAAGACAACCATTGTATGCCGTTTTTAGACGAGAACAACTTTGCAATTCAATTAACTCTACTGTAGGTTCGGTTCTGCGTTTTAAATTTTAATTTGCGATTTGAAGTCTATGAATCTCTAATCAAACTCATTCATCAACCTTTGTAACAACAACATGTACTTTACAGAGTCCAATGACTTTTGATTTCTTGCAGATAAGGTCTCCCAATGAAGCAACTGCTTCTGTTCCAGCTGCTTTTCCAACAATAAGAGCTTCTTCGTGAAAGCTTGAACATGTTCATATAAATGCGTGCATAGTTGATCTTTCCCTTGCAGTTTTAAGTTAGGATCAGAAATACACTTAGTTATAATATCAACTAGGAAAGCCAGATCAACCAACCACTGCTCATCAGTAAGGAAACAAGTGTCTTGGCCTTTGCTTTAAAGATAAATCTTACAACCTTATACAGTTTAATGAAACAGTAATGATGCTAAAACCAGAACCAAGAGAACAACAACCATCATACTCGTACATTGCAAGTGGTATGAAACCAAATGCTCCAAGAAAAGGAGGTGAAGTGCCTCAAATCTCTGCAAAAGCTGTTAATGCAGCAATAATGGAGGCCCAAACAGTCAAAAAGATAAAGGAGGTACAACAGTTAGGAAGGACTGAGTCCAGAGATGGTGAGTGGCAAGTATCCCGACCACGAAGGTCGCGACGATTTGTGGTGGGACGGAATGATGAGCAAAACCAGATTCAATCAATCCCAAAGTTCTCCTCGCTACACGTCAATGAAAGTTACAATCAGGCAGGATGACTTTAAAAATGCATGGCGGCGACGTGAGGTAAGGCCAAATGGCACCGTGATCCCCAGGATGCCACCAACCCAGCCGGATCATTAGGTCAGAAGCATCATATATCGACTTTAGACTTACAAGTATATTACCAAATTTCATAGCAGAAGAATATGATCTAGTTGTTTTAACCGAAACCTGGCTTACAGATGGTTTCCAAGATGCAGAGCTCTTAGATGATAGATTTATCATAGCGAGGAAAGACAGGAAAGATGGAAGAAGAGGCGGAGGGATTCTAGTAGGAGTGAGGAAGAACTTGAACATGGAACTCATCCCCATTAATATTTCTAATGATTCCAGTCTTGAGTGCTTACTGGTAAAAATGAAAATAAAAAAGAAATTGTTTTATGTGTGTGGTGTTTATTTTATATTCCACCAAATGTTAATATTGATATATATATTTGCAATTTTTTAATATATTTGAATCTGTTTTAGATAAGGATGTAAATATTGTCATTTTAGGGGATTTTAATGTACCACACTATGTGAATGAAGGCTGTGATAAGAGTGAGTTGTCAAATAATTTTCTAAATCTTTATAATTTGGATCAGCTTAGTAGTGTGTTCAACATAATGAAAAGAGAATTAGATCTTGTATTATCAAATATGCCCATAATCAATCTAGGACACTGTGGTAATCCTACTCTTAATGAAGATCAATACCATCTGGCTTTGAGTATGGTATTATCAATATCTATAATTCACAGATTGAATCAAAATAACAGTATAACAGTACATATGAATATGTCTATGATTATTCAATGGGTGATTTCTATTTGCTGTACAGATTATTGAGCAATGTTGATTGGTCAGAACTTAAAACAACCTCAAATGTAGACAAGTGCACAGATATGTAATACCAAAAGGTTTATGAATGTTTGGACCTGGCAATACCTAAAAGGAAAATTAAAAAATGCACTTCAAATGCCCAAAGTTATCCAATATACTTTTCACAAGAACGAAAGGAAAATATTAAATTAAAGAAACGCCTTCAAAAACAAATTAAAAGGGCAATGCTAGCTTTCAACTAAAGAATGAATAAAATGAGATTAGAAGTGCAATGAAATATCAGACTGTAAATGAACTACAGGCCTATCATGAAAAAATTGAAAAAAATGTAAACTGATAAAAATGGCTTTTGGGACTTTGTCAGGTCTAGGCATTCTGGACCTGGTATCCCTGCTGAGGTATGCTATAAAGGATTCGTGGTGCCCAGGAAATAGCTGATACATTTGCTCTGTATTTTAGCTCTGTGTTCCAACAATCCGAAAAACCTAACTTTGACGTTTGTAATGGTAACTTCTCATTATCTAATATATCAGAAATGCAAATACAGGCAGAGATTATGAAGTTAAAAGCGAAAATATTTGAGAATATCTTGTATCAAGATATTTTGAGCTCTCTTATGCATAGATTCTCTCTGCAGCAGCATGGTTCTCTGCCCGATGTCTCAACTGTTACCAACCTCAGCATTTACACTGAGGTAGCTGCCGGGGAAATTGACAACAAAGAACAGTTGGATGTTATTTTGACGGATTGTGCGAAATCCTTTGAACGGGTTGATCATGGTCTGTTGGTGAACAAGTTGGGTAGATCTGGGTTCTCAAAAAGTGCATATGAGCTTATGGCATCATATCTAACCTTACGGCCGCAGCAGATTAAAGTTAGTAAGCATTTATCAAAGATGAACATAATAACATCTGGGCTGCCCCAGGGCAGTAATCTTTGGCCTTTATTATTCATAATTTTTTAGAATGATTTGCCAAACTGAGTAAAATATGCCAAATGTCTCATATTTGCTGATGATTTTAAAATATACAAGCATATAACTTGCCTTCAAGATTGTATTGAGATGCAAATTGATTCAAGTTTAGTGTCCCAGTGGTTCAAGGAGAATAAAATGTTGAATATTGCCAAATATCATAGTTTATCTTTTACAAGAAAAGCACAATTTATAAATTTTAATTACAAAATTGATAACTTATTGCTAAGTAGGATAAGTGAATGTAAGGATCTTGGGGTCTGCTTTCAGACTAACCTAAAATTTAATCAGCATTATGAAACTATTGTAAACAAAGCATATAGGATCCTGGGTTTTGTGATAAGGAATACAGAGCACCTTACGGAAACTAAGTCTATAATAATTTTGTACAACTCACTGGTCCGACCTGTTTTCTAGTATGCCTCTGTTGTCTGGGTACCCAAAACAATGGTGCATGTTGATATGATCGAAACGGTACAAAAAAGATTTTTAAGAGATCTGTACTTAAGGACTCACAATGCTTGTCCATACATGATCTCTTATAATAGTATGCTAATAGAATTTAAAATTGTGCGGTTGAGCGTAAGGCATGGTTTGAATGATATCTTGTTCATTTACTATATAATTAATAATTTAAAATGTAAGAAGTGTTCCCTAATAAATAATATATTCTTTGCTGTTCCTAGAATCAACAAACTCTTTCACTGTTCACCTGTAAGTTGTTCTTCTATCAATAGAATGATGTATGAGTGTAATAGTTATATACAAAATTGTGTTGTGGATCTCCTTTCGACTACTGTGAGACAAATTAAGACTGATTTTAAATTTCAGTAAAACATCCTTATCTCATTTTATTTGATTGTTAATTTTTATAGTTTTTCTTAGTCATTATTTTTTAGTTATATGTTTTTGGGTATTCTTTGCTTCTGTACTAGCCAGTAAGCACTCCTACAACTAACTACATTCAAATGTGTTTGCAAGAGTTTAAATAAATAAATGAATAATTAAATCTTTACTTCTTCAAGCTACGAGTAGAATCATTTCAATGTGGCTGCTCTGCTGAGCCATCGAATTCGACTGAAGTACGCGATGTCTTCATGATCTGTATCCATATCAGACAGGAAAGCCTGGAACTGTCTGTGATTGAGTCCTTTTGCACATATAAAATTAACTGTCCACACTACCTTATCCATCATGTGTTTCAGGTCAAGTACTTTTGCACACAGCTGTTCTTGATGAATTAAGGTCTATTCATACTCAGCCGTGACGTGACAGTGCTCTGACTGGCACGTGATCCGCTGGTGAAAGTAAAAACATTCTTCCTGGAAGTTGGATAAACTGATTCATACTAGACCAACACGTGGAAGTGGCCGTGTTCTCAGTGCCCTCAACGACGCCATACCGTGATCATCGCATTGTTTTGGAACAATATTTTTCAATTTTCTAAATCTAATTAAATTTGTGCGCGTACATCCCGTGCTGTAGAACCAGTCAAATTCAAAATACAAGGACTTCTGTTTTCTTCTCGTTTCTTCTTCTTCAACTTTCGTAGGTGGTAGACGGTCTCTGACTGTCGAACGCGGAGGTACCACCCGACGGATCTCGTAGGCGGGGGCCAGAATGAGTGCATGTTGCATGTATATGTGTTCCCTCGCCAGAGCCCGTGTGGCGTCCCCCCTTTCCCCTGTGTTTCCCCCTATAGCACCATGGTACCCATGGATATTTAGGCCTTAGGCCTTCATGGTAGTTGGAGTATAAAAAAAATTCAGAATTAATGCAATAATTCCAACTTCATCCTCTGAAAATTTTGGCATCTCGACCACAACTGCACTGTCAGAGAACGGAGAAAAATACTGACAGGTGTGAATTGAAAACACTGTGAGCTCACGTCAGCAAGAATCACTGGCATGTCATGCCTGAGTGTCAATGGACCTTAATACAGTGATACACTATGATTGTATGTGTGATGCTAATGCGCATTAAAGCCACAAACCCATTTGTTGTCCTGTCATTGCAGGTGCCCTGTCTATTGTTAAGCCGTAAAGATTTTCAATTTGAAGTTCATATTTTTATATACAACTCTTTACTTCTCTGTAGATATCTTCTTCAGTATTTTTGAATTTTGGATGAGAGTTGTACCTGTATGTTGCGTCAGGCCTGCTCTAGAACATAAAATCACTGGCCAAGTGGTAGGCTGTCAAAGATGAGCATTTTTGTACATTGAATCATTTATAACTCAAAAATCATACTTGAAATTTTAGTATGCTACATGGATCTTCTTTTGGATGGTCCTATATGAACCTCTTATTTTTGAAATATCCTGTCCCCTCACATACACTAGCCTTATTATTCAGTGTCATATGCTCCAAAACAGTGGCAATTGAGAATAAGGAAAATGATAAAGATTGTAAAACATTACATCATTGCATTACCCTACAAACTCAGCTAGTGTTGCCAGGAAGCCTTCTAGAATTACACTCTGGTAGTGTATAACTTACATTGACAGCACAGGAAAGCACCTTTGACTATGGAGTCAATTTACGGTATTCAAAGCTATAGACATGTAGTTTTCAAAATAGGATGGTTATTAGATGATTTCCACAAGATTAGAGATATTTTTGCAGTTTGATTAGTTAGATGTTCTAAAGTGGTGCCCAAAGAATTTCAAAGTGCTAATATTCAGGTTCAAAATAAGACTTACGTCTACTAAAGTGCAATACGTGAGCATATCTGCAATATCTGTGTCCACATTGGGGATTTTGCCCCTGAGTGGGTAGCCCTCTTCAGTTACTTCATAACAAATTCGGCACCTTGTTTTTTCCTTCTGCGGATAGAGGTTTGATTCTTCGACTGCCATATTATATGTATACAATGATGTATACCATGAAAATGGCTATAATTTGACCGATTTCCACCTGTCACTGAAATCACCAAGAAATTACTCAAATGAAAACAAACCACCAAAAACATGGAGGTTAGGTCATCGCTTGACATCTGTCACATGAGCGATGATCAGGGATGTGCCAGCTAGTGAAGCAACGAAAATAGAGTACCGAATATCCGTGTTTTCGGTAGAATCGTACTCGCCAGTATAATAGAGATCAAGGTTTAATAATTATTTACTCCCCAGTTCCGAGCTAGCAGCCGTCGCGAGTATACACTTGTGCGACTGCGACCAACCCGGACTTACAGTGCGATCCTACTGTGATTTTCATCACGGTACGATCGCCATCCACGATGGCGAGAATAGAAAAGCTGACGAGCCAGCTGAAGCAGAAGGAGGAGAACTTCGCAATGCTTGCTGAGCAGATGAAAAATCTGCAAGAAGCATTCGAGCAGGCGAGGAACGAGATCGATGAAGTCGAAAAACCTAACTTTGACGTTTGTAATGGTAACTTCTCATTATCTCCTATATCAGAAATGCAAATACAGGCAGAGATTATGAAGTTAAAAGCGAAAATATTTGAGAATATCTTGTATCAAGATATTTTGAGCTCTCTTATGCATAGATTCTCTCTGCAGCAGCATGGTTCTCTGCCCGATGTCTCAACTGTTACCAACCTCAGCATTTACACTGAGGCAGCTGCCGGGGAAATTGACAACAAAGAACAGTTGGATGTTATTTTGACGGATTGTGCGAAATCCTTTGAACGGGTTGATCATGGTCTGTTGGTGAACAAGTTGGGTAGATCTGGGTTCCGAGCTAGCAGCCGTCGCGAGTATACACTTGTGCGACTGCGACCAACCCGGACTTACAGTGCGATCCTACTGTGATTTTCATCACGGTACGATCGCCATCCACGATGGCGAGAATAGAAAAGCTGACGAGCCAGCTGAAGCAGAAGGAGGAGAACTTCGCAATGCTTGCTGAGCAGATGAAAAATCTGCAAGAAGCATTCGAGCAGGCGAGGAACGAGATCGATGAAGTGAAAAGGAAGCTCCTCAAAGCGAAGAGGAAGGCAAAGAAGACGGAGGAAGAAGAAGAAGGCGAGGACCAGGGAGACGAGGACCAGCAGCCTACAGAGAACAGGGACATGGATGCCCAGGATATCGACGAAGAAGAAGACGAGAAGAGGACCGATGACGCAGACTTCAGTGTCGTCACCAGGAGGAGAAAACGAGTGAGAGTTTCCTCCTCCGAAGAAGAAGAAGAACCCAGGCAGCCAAAGATGCCAGCTGCCACCAAGAAGAGAGGTCCTAGAGCAACCAGGACCACCGAGGCCCCCATGGCAGGAACAGGAGTTCCGCCAATCAACATCGAGGGCACCGCTGATTGGTCATCCTTAAGCAGGATGATGAACAGCAAGGGGATTCAATTCTCCAAAGCGAGGACGGCGGGTACCAGTGTGAAGGTATTCACAAATACACCAGCTGACTACCGTCAGCTAGTCGCACTGCTGGAATCCATCAAGCGGCCCTTCTTCACCTATCAACTGAAGGAGGACCGGATGGACCAGAGGGTCATTCGTGGGCTACCCAGAGAGATGTCAGTCAATGACATCAAAGAGGATCTAGTGAGCCAAGGCATCGCAGACGCCGAGGTTCAGCAGATGACCTCAAGGACCACCAAGAAGCCACTTCCGCTCTTCCTCGTCAAGACGAAGATGCCGGAAAAGCTTGCAGAGATCCAGAGGCTGGCCATGCTCACGGTCAGCTTCGAGAGGAAGAAAAAGTCTTCCGAGCCCAGCCAATGTTACCGCTGCCAGCGGTACGGGCACACACAGCGGAACTGCCGTCTCGCTGAACGGTGCGTTAAGTGTGGAGAGGACCACAACAGCACCAGCTGCAGTCTGCCAGCGCCGCCAACAGGGCAACGAAACGCCAAGTGTTGCCTCTGTGGAGAAGGCCACCCCGCCAACTACAAGGGGTGTAGTAAGGCCCCGAAGAAAGCTGCTTCTGCCCCCAAAGCAGTCCCCACCACAAATAGGACTTCTTACGCTCAAAAAGCGAACCACTTCTGCCCCAGCAGCCGCCACTGCTACTGGAACGACTGCGCAGAAGAAACACGGCGATGACAGACTGCTAGCAATGATGCAAGCCATCATAACCCGCCTGGATGCACTCGAGGCCAAGATGCAAGACAAGCACTAGACCCGAAATGTCTACAGGGCAAAACGTAGAATCTCTACGCATTATCTCCTGGAACATCAACGGATTCAGGGCACGGAAACCAGAAATCCAGGAGATACTAGACCAGTACCAACCAGAGGTGATGGCCATCCAAGAAACGAAGTTGGATGCTGCCCATAGTCTGACGTTCCCGCGGTACGATACGTACCGCTACGACAGAAAGGGCAGAGGTGGAGGAGTCGCATTACTCGTCAAACGTACCTTGACGAGTCATGTCCTCGACGATGCCGCAGACATAAATGGGGACGGAATCACGGTCCAGGTCCATCACAACCACCGTCCCTACAGAATCACCTCCCTATATGTGCCACCAGGGGAGGCCCTAGACGAAGATGACATCGCTGACCTCCTGAGAGGCCCAGGAGCACGCATAGTCATCGGAGATCTAAACTGCAAGTCTCCGGCATGGAACAACAACGTCGAAGACAGGAATGCAAGGCAGCTCCAGGAACACGTCGATGCCCTGGCGGGGGTCATCGTCGGTCCGGAGCAACCAACCTACATTCCATTCGGCCTTGGGCGACCTGCGGTACTGGACATAGCCATCCTCCGCAACATCAGAGAGGAGTTCAAGATAGAGACCCTGGTGGAAGGATCGTCGGACCACAATCCGATTCTACTAACACTTGGCACAGGGTCTAGAACTCGAGACAGCTTGAGCACCAAACGGACGAACTGGAACCTGTACAAATCCAACGTCCAAAGGAACATCACTCAAATTCCAACCATCCGATCAGCGGAGGAACTGGACAACGCAGTAGAGGAGCTTGTGAATGCTGTCCTGCGAGCGCACGAGGACAGCACCCGCTCCGAGACTACGGCAGTTCCTAGACACCTAAATGGTCCAGCACCGCACCATATTAGGCACCTGATCAGGGAGAACAGAAGACTCAAGCGAGAACATCTCCAACTGTTGACAGAGGAGTCGAGAGTTGCGCGAAACAGAGCATCGTTAGCTCTGAAGAACGCACTCGCGGAACTCCAAAACAGCTGATGGAATGCAGCCTGTGCAGAACTAGAGACCCAGGATGGTACGGCCTGGTCTATGCAGCGAAAATTTCTTCGTCAGCGCACCACGATCCCCACTCTTCACGGCCAACGCGGCTTGGCCTACTCCAGTGAAGAAAAAGCCGAAGCATTCGCCGATTCGCTAGAATCCGAATGCAGACTCAATTACCATGAAGACGAGGACGACAACCACGAGGAGGCCGTGGAAGTCGCAGCCGAAAACATGAGGAGTCGACCACCTGGCCAGGAGACGGATCACCCCTCCAGTCCAGAGGAAATCCGTCTGATCATCCGCAGGTTGAAGGTCAGAAAGGCGCCGGGAAGGGACGGCATCAACAACAGGATGCTGAAGAACCTTCCCACCAAAGGCATTGCTGCGCTCACCAACATCGCCAATGCCACCCTGAGACTTAACCACTTCCCGCGGCGGTGGCGGGAAGCCCAGGTTATAATGCTCACCAGGCCAGGCAAGGACCGGAAGTTGCCCCAGAACTACCGGCCCATCAGCCTGGTTTCCTCGATGGGCAAAGTAGTCGAAAAGGCTATCGCCGTTCGACTAGAGAAGCAGGCAGACTGCAACTTCTCCCCCCAGAGCAATTCGGCTTCAGATCCTCGCACAACACGGAACTCCAAGCGCTACGACTGACAGAAAACATCACCAGCGGCTTCAATCTCCAAGAGGCAACCGGTCTCGTCCTGCTGGACGTGGAACGAGCCTTCGACCGAGTTTGGCATGATGGACTCATCGCCAAAATGGAAGCCGCCGGAATCGATGCGAACATGTGCCAACTGATCCAGAGCTATCTAACACTAAGATGGTTCACGGTGAAGATTGGTACATGCCATTCAACAAGACGACAGCTGGAAGCAGGCGTGCCCCAGGGGTCAGCCTTAGCCCGCCTGCTACATTGCATTCATATACTAGCGAAACCGCTGGCTTCCATATTCAACTTAATTCTAAAATCAGAGACATATCCAAATATCTGGAAGACCTCTAAAATATGTCCTATTCACAAAAGTGGAGATATCTCTGATATTTCCAACTATCGCCAAATAGCAATCCTGTGCAATTTCAGCAAGTTGTTTGAGATCATCGCTTATGAAACGGTTTACTGCTCGGTCAGGGGTGCAGTCTCTATTAATCAGCATGGGTTTATGAGAGGCAGATCTACGGTCACCAACTTGGCTCTAATTACTCAATACATTTCTGAAGTACTGGACGGTCAGGGACAAGTTGATGTCATCTACACAGATATTCAGAAGGCTTTTGATCAAGTTGATCATTATGCACTTCTGGATAAGCTTAAAACAGTGGGTATGTCTGATGCAATGCTGTCGCTCATGAATTCATATTTGAGGGATAGAAGGTTATTTGTCGAATATGGTGGTCATAGGTCGAGTTACTATCGGGCCACGTCTGGGGTACCTCAAGGTTCAAATCTAGGTCCATTATTGTTTTTAATATTTATTAATGACTTGTCTTTTGAACTGAAGTGTTTCCATTTGTTTTTCGCTGATGACCTCAAAATCTGCACGTCAGTCAAGACAGTCGAGGATTGCGTCATGTTGCAAGATGACTTAGCTCTAATTTCGTCATGGTGTTTACGAAACTGTCTCAGTCTGAATGTTTCGAAATGTAAAGTTATGACTTATACAAGAAAAGTGAACTATTTAATTTATGATAATTATAACATCAATGGTCAGGTTATAGACAGATGCACCTCTTATAGAGACCTTGGAGTCATATTTGATACCAAGCTAACGTTTACTGAGCACATACTCAATATCTCGTCGGCTGCCACTCGACTACTTGGTTTCTGTATCAGAAACTGGAAGGGTTTCTCCAATGTTGATACATTAATAACTTTATTTTTTACTCTTGTCAGGAGCAAGTTGGAGTATGCAACTCTACTACGATGTGCCGAAGACAGCTGACACAATGCTGGCCCTATATGCAGACGACACTGCTATAGCCGCCAAGCATAGACGACCCGAGATCATCCGTAGGAGACTACAGGATGAACTGGACCACATTTAGGACTGGTGCGTGAAATGGAAAATCCGCATCAACGTCCAGAAGACGCAGGCAATCTTCATTCAACGAAGAAGGATTGCAAGACCTCTCGA